GGGGGTGAGGTTGTGTGTAAGTAGTAGGCAAATGGGTATGGCATAGGCCAAAGACTTGGGACCCAAGACCAAGGTAATCAATCCATTGGTCTAAGCTCATGTCCAATCCATTGGGTCTAACCTTTACCATACTGGACCATACCTGTCAGTCTTTGGATTACTGGCACTTGGGATCTTTGTATTGGCTGTGCATACCTACATTGTAGCCTGCATTGCTTGTTGGTAGTACATACATATGTTGGTAACTCATGTGGTAGATACCTCAGTTTGAATAAAAACTGTAATACCTCTATAGGTCTTCTTTTTCAGCCTTCTGTCAGGACTTGTACAAGAACACTGCTACATAACATGTCAACTACAGAGCAGGTCCACTTTGTGTTCAGTACCATTTGATCAACTTCATAACATCTCAGCTGTAATGTCCCACCCTTGGTACTGCATTGGTACTTGTCAGTGAACATCAGCAGATCCCTAGAGCTTTATACCCCCCTTGGGTGAGAGGATCAGTTCTAACCTGATAAGAGACTTTAAAAGAAAACAAGCAGATAGACAACTAAGTGCAGAATGTTAGATTAGGATCAAACATGAAGCATGGAGACATGGAAAGAGACTGTCAAGATTGGTTGCTCCTAGGGACAAAGGGGGGGGGGGGGGGGTTCCACAACACTTAGTGATGAATGCTGATGTGGTACTGGCTACTGGCAGGCACAACCAAAAGGTGCCTAGTGGTGAAGGGAGACCTGCTGAAAGGCCAAAAAGCAAGTAATGTGGAGGGGGCTTACTCTGTACATTGCCATGCTATCTTGCAATGCCCTCATACAAGTTTTCACAGAAAGCTGAAGGTACCAAAATTGAACCTCTTATTGGTATGGGTATGTGCATCTCCCAGTGAGGTCAGCCAACTCCACTTGCAGGAGGTGGGTGCATCCTCCAAACAGGTTGGCTGACCCCACTTCCAGGCAGTGGGTCTACCCTCCAAACAGGTCAGCCTACCCCACTTCCAGGCAGTGGGTCTACCCTCCAAACAGGTCAGCCTACCCCACTTCCAGGAGGTGGGTCCATCCTCCAAACAGGTCAGCCAACCCCACTTTCAGGCAGTGGGTCTACCCTCCAGCCAGGTCAGCCAACCCCACTTCCAGGCAGTGGGTCTGCCCTCCAGCCAGGTCAGCCAAACCCACTTTCAGGCAGTGGGTCTGCCCTCCAGCCAGGTCAGCTGACCCCACTTTCAGGCACTGGGTCCAACCTCCAGCCAGGTTGGCCAACCCCACTTTCAGGCATTGGGTCCAACCTCCAGCTAGGTCAGCTGACCCCACTTTCAGGCACTGGGTCTGCCCTCCAGCTAGGTTGGCCAACCCCACTTCCAGGCACTGGGTCCAACCTCCAGCCAGGTTGGCTGACCCCACCTTCAGGCAGTGGGACCATCCTCCAGCCAGGTCGGCTGACCCCACTTTCAGGCACTGGGTCTGCCCTCCAGCCAGGTCAGCTGACCCCACTTTCAGGCACTGGGTCCAACCTCCAGCCAGGTCGGCCAAACCCACTTCTAGGCAGTGGGACCATCCTCCAAACAGGTCGGCCAACCCCACCTCCAGCCAGGTCAGCCGACCCCACTTTCAGGCACTGGGTCTGCCCTCCAGCCAGGTTGGCTGACCCCACTTCCAGGAGGTGGGTGCACCCTCCAAACAGGTCGGCCGACCCCACTTCCAGGGACTGGGACCACCCTCCAAACAGGTCGGCCAAACCCACTTCTAGGCAGTGGGACCATCCTCCAAACAGGTCGGCTGACCCCACTTCCACACACTGGCCTACCCACCTTTGGGCACCATCGGCTGACATCGGTTAGTCCCACTTTTAGGACAAAATGCACATGTCGGATGACCCACTTTCAGGCCTACAGGTGACTGAAGGGTCTGCGGTAAGTAGCTGTCTTCTTCCTCCCCCTCGCGAGGTAACAACTCAGCTGAGGAGGGATTCCAATATACATTCCTTTCGACGGTAACTGACTTCTTTTCAGGCCAGTACACACGACAGCCATTGGGGCTGTTATCATTGATCCCAACCCATCAGCCCTCTGCAACACGCCCTCCAAGTTTGGTTCCACCCTTGATTCATACCCAGACGCTCGAGCCCCACATGTGGGCTCGACTGAGGTCTGGTTTCTTCCTGGTCGCAGCTTCGAGGGGTGTCCCACTGTCAAGCGCTCTGGTGGGAGTCCTGTTCTTTAACCAGATGGCATGGCACACCACTTCACCCCATAGAGTGCGAGGCAAGCCGCTCTCGTGCAGCATGGCATGGACTTTTTCAAGCAAGGTGCGATTGAGATGCTCAGCAACTCCATTGTGCTGTGGGGTATCGTGTACAGTGAGCTTCTGTTTCATTCCAGCCACCTTGAGGTACATCACAAATTCTTTTCTGAGGTACTCGCCACCCTGATCAGAATGGAGGGTCTTCATGTGAGCATTATGCTGGGTGTGACACCAGGCCTTGAAATCTTTGTAGGCTGTGAAGGCTTCACTCTTCTGGCGAAGGAGATGAATATAGGTGAGTCATGTCTTATCGTTGGTGAAGGAAATGTAGTAATGATGTCCACCAAGAGTTTCTACGGGTGTGGGTCCCCAGATGTTGCTATGTACTTCTTCAGCAAACTTGTGAGCTCGTTCTCCGATGCATTCCTTCATGACAGGCTTCCTGGTTGCCTTCACGTATACACAGGCTTCACAGAAGGTCGGCTCGTCTTTCGACAAGTCGAACTTCAAACCTGATACAAGTCCCTTTTCAGCTAGGCAATGAGCAACAGACAGAGAAATGTGTCCCATCCTACAGTGAAGTTCCATCACAGTTATTGATTCAGCTGCTGTGTTTGCACTGTCACGATCATCATTGTGGATGATGTGATAGAGCCCAGCTTTAGACTTAGGGATGCGACCAACAACATCATCAGCAGGGTTCCTGATGGTACAGGTACCTTCAGCAAAGGTGACAGAGTAGCCTAGCTGGTCAAGGTGGCCAATGGACACGAGGGTGTATCCAACCTTGGGTGAGTATAGTACTTCGGTGAGTCACAGTTTAGTTACATCATACCCATTCAGCACCTCTATGACTAACTCCCCCATAGCCGTAGTGTCGAAGAGTTGTTTGTTGGCAGCCAAGAATGACTTGGGTGGTATTGTCACCAATGTCTCGAACTTCTCCTTGTAAGGGGAGATGTGTTGAGTGGATCCGGAATTGTAGAGTTCAATGACAGGCATACTGATGGGGCTGTCATTTATGAGGTTCACAAACTCTGGGGAGGTGTTAGTGGGCTCGACATGATTTGAAGCATCACCATGGGGTGAGTGCTCGTCATCCACATCCCCCATCTCGCTGAACCAGTCTTCGTTGGTGGTGATGAAGCAGCGTCGATCAATGTCATTGTCGTCTGATGATACACTCAGCAAGTCAGGGAGCGAACCCTCATCGTTGAGTTCATCCAGGGCATGCACCGAGAAGGTGCCCTCTTCATCAGAATCGAGCGTTACAGCATGCACAGATCCCTTGGTGGCAGCAGGTAAGCTTTCTTTCTTTGTTTTGTCAAGATCAGGACATTGAGATTTGTAGTGTTCCCTCGACCCACAGTTCCAGCAGGGGCCTCACTGGTGAGCGTGCCCTCTGGAGCTACCCCCTCGACTACCATTTCTTCCATTTCCTCTCCCCCTTCCGAAAGAATTTCCAGGGGTCAATGACATGGCTTCATTGCCATCACGATTCTTGGCTTTGGATCGCATGTGCTGAGTCTCTTTGCGACTTCTGCACTCAGACTCTTCGATGATCAAGGAGATGAGAATGTTGGGGTCAATAGTTTGTGTCAGGCTGTACAGGTGTGTGGTTGCTAGCTGTCCAGATGTGAAGCTGGCGAGGTACTTAGGCAGTGATTGGATGATGGTCGAGCAGTAATCCTTTTCTTCGATCTGTACGCCAACAGCAGCTAACTCATCTCTCTTCATATGCAGATTGTCCAAGAACTGGCAGATGTCACTGTCAACAGGGCACTGCAAGTTTAGAAACTTTGTGCGAAGGTCGGTCTGTGCATAAGCACCCTTCTCCATGTATTCACAAATGATTTCATTCCACATAGCTGTGATGCTGTTAAGGCTATGCACCCGGAGTGCAGTGGAATCAGGGATCCATTGGGTAAGTAAGTGTTTCGCCATATTTTCGCTTTTTTGCCACTTAGTGAGTTTGTCAGCATCGGGAGGGACTATGGTTACAAATCCATCCTGATCAGTGGAGGTCATGCTGACAGGGCAAGGAGAGGTGCCATCAAAATGGGACCACAATTCCTTAGCTTCGATGGCAGTCTGGAAGCGAAGGGAGAAGATCACCCAGTTCATGCCTTTGATGTCAAGTTTCGGGACATTGCCCGGGAGCGTGTCGGTGGTGACAGGGATGGCAGTAGTCATTTGTGGGGGGGGACGAGGGTTGGTTGGCAGTGAGAATATTGAAAACAATGGTGAGATGTCATATAGGCTATTAAAGCTCAGGGCTCATAACTTCACAGAAATCTATAACGAGATCTCAGTTGAGTGCACGAGTGGCAAATGTCTATATTTGCATTACCTATAGCAAGATCTAAGGTAACAACATGAGCACGAAGTACACGAACATGGGAACAAGACACTATACCCACCTCAGTCAAGTGTGCGAGCAGCAAACGTCTGAGGTGGTGTTACTACAGTAACGAGTTAAATACGCTATACGAAACAAAAGGGTGAGACACAGGTGTTGAACCCAGTATTGAAACTACAAGCACGGTCATAGTGCGAGTGCTTGTACCGTTAATTATACATATGAAACATTTGGAGACAATAAACCAAAAATTACTGCGCTGTATTGTCAGCGCTCGAAACAACTAAGTACAGTGGTCTTGTAGACCTGTAAACGGGAAGTGTTTCCCATGGTAAGGAAAAGTAGCATCAATTAGTGAACGAAGGCTACGAGCAACTTGCCAAATCTAACATTATACCATGGCACGACTGTTATCCCTCCTTGGAATCCTCAGCAGTATGCAAGGCAGCACACAGCTGGAACCTGATGTGCAACCCAATGATGGTGGGCAGGCAGAACTGAATGTGCAGCCCAAGGCCAACAGTGCCCTGAGGGGCTTCAGTGGAGTGTATGTAGGTATGGTGAGTGGTGCTATGCAGATATCCCCTCATTGTTGGCTTATGTGATATCCAGGTGTGTGGTTTGCTCAGAGCAAACCTCACCTTCATTAGCATCTTGTGCTTTGCACATGTCCCAAACTGACCTATTGTTGAACCTGTACTGTGGAGCAGTGTTGCAGCATTGTTCTTCAGTGTTTGCATTGCTGCATTGGGGTATGTTCTCCCTGAGGTAAGATTTGATTCATCATCAATACTAACATGAAATATGAACATGTTTTTCAGCCACACTGCACCAAGATAGTGGTGTGACTAATCTCAGCATTGCCAAGGTTAGGTCTTGTACTTAGGTGAGTACCCTCTGAACCATCATTATAAATTCATGAAGACTCATTCCAAGTGATTAGCTTTATCCTTTTTGTTACATCCACCATCATCTATGGCTGCACTGGTGGCCCACAGGCAGTTACTTGGGTGGTTGTAGGAGTCATTGGTCTGGTCGCTGTAATTGCAGCAATCATTTTTTTGCCTCCGTTTATAAAGATAGTCACACCGTGTTTTGCTTCTGCATAACTTCGGCATTGGCTCACCCCCAATCCTGCACAGCATGTACCCACTTCATCGCATTGATTCTCCCTTATTCCCAAGCCATCCAACAGTCTCGACATATTCCTTTGTATTTTCAATGATCATCGCAGTCTTCGGCATCTCCATTTTTTTTGTATTTTCAATCGTTGTTGTAGCCTTCATCATCCGCATAGTTTTGTCATCTACATAACCGCGTCTTCATGATTGCACTCCCCCCCGTGTCGTAGACGAGCAAGCAACTTTGGTACAACCATCACACTTGAACTCCGCACTGGTTGTACTGCTAAATCCACAAGCTGTCGTTGGATGCTCTGGTCCCTCACAGCTTTTAATGGGCTCGGCGCGATTGCAGGTCCCATCGCCCCTCGCGGTATCGAAGATGATCAGACCTACACTTCACCTCTGATCGTCCTTCTCTCTATCTCCGTCGCTCTCTTTGTGTGTTTCACCGTAAAGGTCATGTACATGAAATACCGCCGCATCAAGACAATACACGGGCACCCGTGGGCCGACCGTGACTCCGAGTCTCTGTCTCCAGCGTCGCCGTCCCGCCGATCAGCAAGAGAACGCGATCCTCACCCAGGCCTCATCATTGGTTGCTTCGGGTCTCCAAGTTGGGAAACACGCATTCATTCGAGGGTTGATAATCAGGCGTGCGCACGGCTCTCGACGTTTTCCTACCAGATGCGCAGTACTAGGAAAACAAGAGTTCGCCGATCCCCCGAAACGCGTTCGGGTCTCAGCGAAATAACAAGCTCAAGTTCTCGGGCCGTAGGTTCAGCGTCGCACTTAGGTTCGGTCAGAGACCGCGAAAGTGGTCTGACAGTGCCATCACTACTGCGACCTCCGCGAACGTTCACCTATGATGGAGAAGGCATGCGGAAGACCGTCCATTTGGTCCCTCGATTGCTCTATGACTTAGGAGATAGTCTGCCTACCACGAATACCAGTAGCAACAACGATAACCATACCGATGATATCGACCAAGAGACGCTAGAGGGTCCAGATTCTCCCCGCAGTTCCATCAGGTTGATAAACAGACTACCTGGAGACCCACCTCATCCCTTTTTGTACGGACCGCTCGGGATTAGTCGGTTGTCTCCTCTCATGGAGGCCATGGATTCTGTTTCGCTGTCGAAGTCTTCCTCTGAAATTCCCGAGCAACTTTGTGACCCGGCTGTCGCGTCTGTGTATTTACCCAGTTACCCATTTTCGCCCCCGGTGGCGCTGAATTGTGCGGTGCGGACCGTGACAATGAAACACGAAGACGCTGCCTATGAACCCGCGAGCAAAAGATGGAGCAAGAGATCGATACATGGGAACGTTCGGTTTCGAAGTGGTCCCGCGGGTGTATCCCCATTGCGAGCACCTTTGATCCCGGTCGATGTGGAAGACATAGTCGCCATCACTGACTCGTACGAATGACAACGAGAACGAGCCATTCCGCTTCTGCGACATTCGGTGAGACTCCTGGTTGTGCCCGACTTCTTGCATCAATATCCCGCTCTCCGAGAGCGTTGCCTACCCCGAATGATCACCTTGATACCACCACGAGACTTGTTGTCCAACCTTACGACTCCACTTCCTGATAATATCACTACACCCATAACCTATTTGAGGAATTTCTCCCATAATGAGGCTTCCTTTCGAACACTGGCCCCCGACAGACCAGAGGATACCCTCGCCAATGCAACACCAGATTGTTTCTGTTTGGACTGCGAAAAGTTTTACAATGAGAATGGCAGGATGGTCAGTACGACCACTTCCCAGGTAAGATTTATTTCCCAATCTATGCAGTTCAAACTGAAGTCCGTGATAGTCCAGAGATTGGAGTTGCACGATAAGCCTCCTCTGAGGTTCGAAATGTTAGGATTGTTCATTTTCTTGGACCTTTTGCCGACCCCTTAGACTTTTGGAACTCCTTCAAGGAGATTTTGCATGTGCATTTCAAGATCAAGCCTCATGCCATGAGCCATGACGTAGACTTTAGCCTTAGCATTAAGCACTCCCACCCCATCATTGAGTTGTTTTCCTTGCACGCGCACCATACCCCCATACCTCATGTACTGTCATCATCATATGTATTCGTAGCTCTTGTCAGACGCGTACCGTGATTTCACTGTCGTATGTCGCAATAACACAGAATTCCTCCACAATCAGTTCGAACCTCATCGCCCACACGACCTCCTTTACTCATACTAAATGAATGTTGCCAATACATGCCATTAATGCAAATGCAAAACATGCTGGCATTCGATCCCTCCTAGCTTCTCCTCATAGACAGTGCGTTTCAATGCACCCGAGGCAAAGCGTAGTCACTGATGGCAGTGGAGCACGTCCGTCTAGCCTTCGGTGGTTCGAACACCATCAAGGGAAATAATGGTCCGTTCTGAATTGGTAGTGACTTTGCCATTTTCAACGCGGTTGCGATACTTCTCGCTGGTGAAGCCCCTCACACACGACAGTATGAAGGCAGAGCTGTATGTTTTTCCCGCCATCCTTTACTACTTCTCTAGGCATGAACCAATACCCTTCTAAGTTCCGTTAGTGCTTGAAGAGAAGGGTGTTAATGTGAGGCGTATACGTGATATTGAATCTTGATACGAAGTGAGATGAACAAGTAACGATTGCACGATGATGAACATCCTAGTTCCAGTCCTCTGCGTACACGCTTAGCGAATATCCCACAACATAAACGACTGGACCAACCACAAGTCTAGGTTCTCAGCGTTGAGCTGAATCCAGCATGTCGATAATCACCGGTTGGAAGCCAGGACCTCCACAGGGAATACGAACGCCACGAACAAATGCCTTTGGTCCAATTGGTTGATTCGCCGCATTGACCATAATGGTCTCACTGGATTGAGTATCCCCGGGGTTAGACCGATCTTCTGTCGCGAACTGATTTGCCTCTGTGGCTTGGTCGTTGATGTCCCATACATGGACAGTTGCTCCGTGAGCTTCGTGTATGTGTCCGAAACAGTGAATCAAAGGAGGTTTCTGCATATTGGATAGATGTGCCAGCAGCTCTGGGCACCCAACGTGTTCATTAGTCAGAATTGTGTCCAATATTGTGTGGGGAGGGCCGTGTGTCAACCTGGGCAAAGTGGTATGAGTTAAAGCGCCGGCACAGAAAGATACCTACAAGATATCGACTTCTGGTATGGGTGCCACACGTGCTATGTAAAGCTCAGGTTCATGGCTGCACAGCTGGGCGCAATGATAGATCCGGAAGCGCACCTTGAGCTTCCTCGGGTGTATAGTTGAATGCCCATCCACCGAACCACGGCTGCCACTAAAGATAAAACAGCGGAGTGTAGCGGTGAGACCAGGTTGTCTCACTCAATTTGGTCAACTGACTGGAGACCCGTAGACAGACCATTCTCTTCCACCATCTTTGGATTGGAACGTGTATTTCTGATCCTGGAGGTACACTATGCCGTTATTTTCATTGTCGACTAGCTTCCTTATGTGCGAAGATATCTGCTTGATAGTTACACGAGACGCTGGGTATTCCGTTTGAACAACGGTCCCACCTCTTTTTTCCTGTGAAAGACGTAATACTGTGTTTCGTACCACGATTCGTGAAGAGGAAGGTCATGATTCCCCGCTATAATGCTTGAAATGGTCAGACTTCACCTTGGCGTACTGTATCAAGGACGAACATTTTCACAGGGTGGGGGAGGCTACGTAGCCAGTCCACGGTAATCTTCAACTGGTCGTAAGTGCCAAGCTTACTCAGGTCTCCCGAGTGCAATAATACATCGCCCGGCGGGACCTGAAACGTTTCCGAGTGAGTGTCACTCAGACAGACGAAGCGCGTCCACTGAGGACCAGGGTGCGGAGGGGGGTGTTGTGGGTCGTACGCTGTGTGGACGGTAGCATTCCTTGTATTGAAAGATTCCTTGTTGAATGGCAGTCGAGATGGTCTTGAGAACAGCGATATCAACGAGGCCATGTCGGCGGTAATTTGGTGCTTCTGTGGTGACGCAACAGCTTTGATGACTGCCCAAATTTGGTCAGCTCACCAACCAATCAGCGGGTTTGGAGTGATAATGACGTCGATTGGGGAAACGTCAGCTGCTGGCCACTACTACCAGTGGTGAAGTTCCCCTTCTTCAAGGTCGGTTTATGAGCTGTCGCCTCCCTCAGACCATCAGCAGGTATCTATCACTATTCCCCAGATTCGTCGCTATTCCACATCTATGTCCGTCAAGACCGTTGCAGTCTGTAACTTCTCCGATCTCAAAGATGGCCAAATGTGCAATCTACCTGTATTTCTCTCATTATTACGGCTTACCACATATACAGGAAAGAAGTGTCTTTTGAAAACGAAGGAAAGGTGGTGGTATATCGCCTTGGTGACGCTGTGCACGCCACCAGTGCATTCTGTACCCATTATGGCGCACCGTTAGTAAAAGGTGTCCTCGCCGCGGATGGTCGTGTGGTTTGGTGCGTTGTCACATGTGGATGCAAGACTTTTCCGGCTCATGAACCGACAGTCCATGGCATGGAGGTAATTATTGTCCAAAGACGACTGTCTTGTTTGTTTCACTTCCATTGGCTCATCGTCCAAATAGCTTGTTTTAACATTTGCACTGGCGATATTGGTAAGGCACTACATCAGTGGATAATATAGGTTTTCTTATTAAACAAACTCAGAGGATGCCCCTGCTCCTTCTGCTCTTTATTCTTTCAAGACTCACATCGCCGATGGAAAAGTCCTTGTCACTGCTGACGTCACTCGTACCCTTAAGGCCAATGCGTCCCGACCACCTAAGCTACTCTCTGCTGGTGCTGTGCCTGCTTGTAAAGGCGTCGTCATTATCGGTGGTGGTGCGGGCGCCTTTCATGCTATCGAAAGCTTGAGAGAGGTAATTTCGTGTTTGTGATTTGTGTACGTGCATTCTTTCCAACGTAACTTTGAAAGCACGGCTACTCGGGAAGTATTACTGTACTGTCTAAGGAGATGTATGCTCCTATCGACAGGTAGGTTGCAATCCTACACTATTCACCCTTTTGCTAAGTGATGACTTTAGGACAAAGCTCAGCAAGGCTTTGATCACTAACCCAGCCAAGATCGAGTGGCGGAGCGCGTCCGACCTGAAAATCAGATACGGCACGACGCTCCGCCTTGGAGTGGTGGGTCCTTCATTGTGTTGATCGTCTCGTCTCGTCTGAGTTGCCCAATTGTATCTTCGTTCAGACTGTGACATCAGTGGACACATCCACGAAACAAGTCATATTTGAAGGTGGAAAGGAGTCAGTTCCTTACGACAAGTTGATTCTGGCTACGGGTGGAACACCGCGTCGCTTACTTATCGAGGGCGGCGGCTTGGAAAATGTCTACACTTTCCGTGGAATAGAAGACGCGAAGAAGGTAGATGCTGGCAAGTCTCGATTATGTATACTTCACCACCAACGCCCTGTTCACCTGTCTGCTCACAGACGCTCAAGAAGGGAAACGCATGGTCGTTATTGGCAGTTCTTTCATTAGCATGGAGCTGGTTGTTGCAGTAGCAAAACGGAAGTTGGCTTCTATCGACGTTATTGGTATGGAAGAATTTCCCTTTGAAAGCGTGTTGGGAAAAGAAGTTGGAAATGGGTTGAAAAAGGTCGATATTTTCCTCTCCTCCGCGAAAACGCCATCTTACTTCACCAGTATCACGAATCGCAAGGTGTCAAGTTCCACATGCGAACCAAAGTAGACAAGATCGTAGCGTCGGAAAATAATCCGTCTCAGGCATCTGGTGTTGTAGTCAACGGCCAGATCATACCCGCTGACTTTGTTGTGATGGGTGTCGGGGTTGCCCCTGCTACCGAGTTCCTGAAGCAAAGCGGTTTTGCGTTAGAGAAAGACGGAGGCATCAAAGTTGACGAGTACCTTCGCGTGCTTGGACATACGGATGTGTATGCCATCGGTTTGTGCTGCCCCTAACTCAATTCAGACATCATGATGATCTGATTTCTTTTAGGTGATATCGCATGGTATCCCCAAGTCGGCACAGGGGAGAGTAGGAGAATTGAACATTGGAATGTACGATTAAATGTCGTTTGGCTCTGGAATGGGACTTTGAATTTCCATGCAACAGGTCGCTAGTAACCAAGGTCGGGCGGTGGGTATGACCATCTCCGGAAAACCTCAACCCTTTGTCAAGATCCCTATATTCTGGAGCGCGCGTGCGTGAGACCGTACGGGTTGAAAATGTACTACTGATTAGGTACAGAGGGTCAACAACTTCGCTACTGTGGCACGGGCGCGGGATACGAGGATGTCATCATCAAGGGCGACCCTGGCGAGATGAAGGTGAAGCTCTCTGCACGACTCTTCGTAACTACGTGGTTTTGAGACTGTTGCAGTTCATCGCGTACTACGTGAAAGGCAATCGTGTTGTTGCCGTTGCCAGGTAAGCGTGGCGAAAGGTACCACGCTTAGTTCTGCTCATAAGATTGCTAGCATGCAAAATGACCCTGTCGTTAGCAAGGCATCTGAGCTCCTTCGACTCGGACTCATGCCGTCACCCGATGAAATCAGGGGGGGCAAGGTAAGGGTATTTCAGAGACCCACAACCTTCTCACGTTCACACGAAACCTACCATCAGAACCTCCTTGACATTGACATCTCCTGCGTCGAGTCAAAGGTGCGAGTTGAAGGTGCATGAGCGTGGGTAATTCCCTTCTGTATCTGTAGTATCATCTAGCTGTACATCAAAATGTCCATTAACTACTCTTCTGCAAGATTGTACTGCATTTGTCCTCGCAACAGCAAGAGAGTAAAAGCAGAAACAAGGATAATATATGTAATTCCACGACTTGGGCAGCCTAATAGCAGCCAAAGTGTGTAGGGAGTATATGGGAAACGAAAGGGAAGGGAAGGGACGTCGACTCATGACTGTACAAAGAGGTACATAGCCAAAGGAATGGCGCGTTAGCTTACAATTAGTGAATGGAAAGACGAATGTAACAGATAAATCCAATAGATACTATACAGGCTTCACATCCCTGATGTCTAGTGCGGAATCGAGTCCCCTGATGAGTTTCTCGGCACCACGCAAGAATGAATGTTTACGTTTTGACGGCGTATTGGGTGACGGCGGTGTCAAGGGAGTACAAGTTAGGCCTTCAGAAATATCCGGGCAACAGGGTGAGGACGGCGAGCGCAGGCTGGATATAGAACGAGCATGACGTATAGTTGTGCCCGCCGAGTCTTTCAGCAAGCCAACATCGGATAAGGTGCGTAAACTGGCACGCGCTCCATATGCCGATGACACAGTTAACGGCTGTCCGCGGGTGAATTGGCCAAAGTTTTGAGTTAGTTTTGCAGAACCGTCAGGACTGACCGTCAGTGATCGACGCCGAGGAGGGGAAGGGGGTGCCCGAGGGCTAACAGTGTGCACTGTGATGGTCTTTAACGCCCCAAGGGTGTGTGCTGCGTCTGCGGCTTCCCGTAAGACTTCGCTGGAGTCAGTTTTTTGTGACATGCGGCCGGACGACTGCTCGTCGAAGCTCCGAACAGAAGAAGGTGTAGCGCCAAGATTGGGCAATATTATTGGACAACTCCGCCCTCTTGTGCGAGCGGATGACGTTTCCGATAGGAGGGAGGGTAGAGATGACGAAATGCTCGATGGGGAGTGCACCTTCTCCGACACAGCGCATGTCTGGCGATTTAAGTCGTTCATCCAACCTTCCCATTCTAGTTCGCTATCCATCACAGAATTCGAATCCGAGTCGGCCTCATCTGACACCGACTCAGCCATCGGTTCAGATCCAGTACGATAACAATCAGGTATGACGCCAATTTGGTGATACATATCCTGCCAGGATTTGTCGTGATGCTTGGAATCGCTGCTGTCTGAAAGCAAACTTGCGCAATCTATTTCGGTTCTGACGCCCCACGACAGGGGTTTGGTTATATCTTCTATGCTAGCCTTTCGTGCAGTTTCTGCAATGTCAACACGCCACTCAGGGTATGGAATAGATTTGCTCGAACGCCCATTTAGAGATGACATCGTCGGCACTGTGGGACAGCAGTTTCCTAGCGCTGAGGAAGGGAGGAAGGACGAAGATACGGGTTTAGGGGCATAGCGATGCAAAACGCGTAGCATGTTTGCAAATGCTGAGTGCAGGGCCTTAAGTACATTTTCTAGCTGGGCACGGTTACTCACCATAATCATCAAGCATGTCAAGAACAACCCATTCTCCTTCCCCACGACATATGTCATCAGGGTTATACGGTTGCCGAGGTTTTCTAAACCTGCGTTTCCCAGTTGCTTTTTCAGACCCTGAGGAGACTTGGTCCGAAGTGGCCCTGCTGGCGTCGGTTTTCCATCCTTCCGAGCTAGTAGTCGAAGGCGCTGTCATTGGAAGAGTAATGGACCGAGTCGTCCGGAATTTCAGGCAAATAACACGCTGGTCGCCGACGATGGCGCAAGTCCGCTGGAGCGAGTCGGCACCCCGGAGAGCCTTCAGCGTAGGAAGCGAGAACTGATGGCGAAGAGCAGCTCCCTGGTGCTTCAAGTGAGTAAGCGTACGATCTCCTCACATTCAGAAAGAATATACCGATTCATCTTTAGACAAAGAGAGTATGTCTTTGTGGATGACCACCCATCGATCCTTCCACTCCAACTTTGGCTTCCATCTTAGTGTGATAGGAATCTCCCTCTTCTTGCCGTGGACACCAAGCTCGTGTTCTGTCGTCTTCCCTGGGGGCTTGAAACGACCAGCTTTGGGACTCCAGGCGGCAAGAAGAGCTCTGACTCTAGCATGGAAATAAGGCTGCACGTACTCCAATACCACCTTTCTATGCAATGGGACGACCATGTCAGACCGATGCATCTCCACTAGCTCGTACGGCCGCAGGTTGCAAGAAGACATGGTGTCATCATTCTGGAGTACCCTGCCTGTGGAGAAGGCTATAAGGACATATTGATCGACGAGGCGGTTATTTCCAAGCTTGTTGCTAGGACGAGAAATTTGCCCAGGAGACTCCTTGTCACGCTGTATGCTGTTGTATTCTGGGTCATCTTCGGCCTCGTCACACCGCCCCAGAGTGTATCCGGTTCGACTACAGGGCGACGCAAAAAAGATGGGCGACACTGAACGTTGCGTTGGGACGTCGGGTGCCCGCACGAGGTTACATTTAGAAAGTATCCAGTGCTTTACTTGTTTTACGTTCCAATCGTTTTGAACGTGGGTCAGCAGCCACTGGTCGTATGGGACTGGACCCACAAACGACGACAGGCTTAGACTTCATGGACGGCAACCATATAAACTGAGATGGTACGCACCAAACCTACAGCTGATTGGGATGGAGCGGCGATGCTCGTCTGGCGGCATCAAGGATAATGTACAGGTCGAGGGAATCGCTGAGACGGTTGGCGTGAGACTGGCTTTATCACTGGTCAGTTAGATGCCTGACAGTGCCAGACAAATCACTTCTGTCGAATTTTCCAAAGAACACTCGGCCCTGTCGACAATTTACTCAAGTCTGACAGGCTGACAGCCAGGAGACACTCACAGTCTACTTATTCGCTTCAGTTCCTGGTTAGCGCCTTGCTCATGATTCAGAACTCACCGCCACGACCATCCGCATGGAAGGGAAAGGGGAAGATAACAAACGAGGACTACGACGACCTACGACCGACCATAACTTATCGTCACATTCTTTCTCAGAACCTTGGTGTGCGGGACCCTTTGCGCGTCATTGCCCTCTGTGACAGCGACGCTTTCTATGCGGCTTGCGAACGTGTCAGATTGGGCCTTGACGCCGGCGCCCCGCTCGTGGTGCAACAATGGGAAAGTCTCATCGCTGTCAGCTATCCCGCTCGTAAATATGGCATATCCAGAATGGACAAAGTGAAAGATGCAAAGAAGAAATGTCCGAATCTTGTTGCCGTTCACGTAGCTACGTACAAAGAGGGGGAAAGAGAGCCTGGCTACTGGGAGGACATCGATACTCGGACCCACAAGGTATGTACACGCCCGCAGCCATCATCTAGGTAAAGTTTGATGATGACCACATGGTTATTACTGCAAGGTCTCACTTGATCTGTACCGGCGTGAGAGCAGCAAGATTATCAACATTATGAAGCAGTCGCTTCCGAGTGGCGAAATCGGTGAGAGTCTCTGTTGGCTACACCTTCGACCCATAGCTGACGGGTGGGAAAGAGAAGGCATCTATTGATGAGGCCTTCTTGGACTTGACGAGGCCAGTTCGCGAGAAATTGCTTGAAAGATATCCTTACCTCGCCAAGTTCCCTGACGACGCACCTGACGGGGCCGACAGCCCACTACCTCCTCCACCGCCGATCGATTGGAATCAGCTTGGTGAATTAGTCCCTCTGACTGCGCCGGGTGAAGGGTCCGAACCTCAGGATGAGATCTCAAACCATGAAGATGACCACTTTACTACCTGGCATGATGTTGCATTGTCGATAGGGGCGGAACTCGTCACAAAGCTCCGAGAGGAAATCTTTAGGCAACTGGGTTATACGATGTCTGCGGTTCGTAAAATTAACCCGAAGCAGGCTGTCGTATTAACGTGGGCTAGGGTATTTCACGCAATAAATTCCTTGCCAAGGTGGGTACTTTCGAAGTGGAATTAAACCACTGAATCGCCATCCGCCTGCAGCTCTGTGCATCCTACAAGAAGCCCAACAGCCAGGTAATTGGTGTACCGCACCATAGCTTCTGGGCTCACACTAGAACAGACCGTACTACGAAATGATGCTATCCCGTCATACCTCCGACCCATGCCGTTCCAAAAGGTATGTGGTGTCGGGTTCAATGCCGTAAGTGATTGTGATGATGGCATCCAGATACGATTCCTTGGTGGAAAGCTTGGAGATGCCCTTGTCAAAGAATATGATGTTTCAACAGTTGGTGATCTACTGTGAGTACATCTCCGCCAGAGCAAATGTTCTTTTCAACAAAGTTGCCATGCTATCAAGGACGGTGTCTTTGGGTATGTAGTCCCGTCCTTGCATAGCCCTTTACTGACTCCCATGGGTAGACGAGATGCAAAATAAATTTGGTGAAAACGCGGTATGGGTTTATGAACTTCTGCGGTGAGGATAGTGAGCTTGTCTTGGCTTTGTGTCATTAAACTGCTAAATCCTGCAGCGGGATTGACGGAGGCGAAGGTCGACGAATTTCCATCTGGATCCGGCTCCCGTATTAACATTCTCGTTAGTGAAAGAGAGGTCGGCTCTCTTCAAGAGCATGCTAGCATCCAAGAACCTCCCGAAGCCTATAACGACGTTTGCTGATGGCCAGCACTGGATCCGGGTTCTGGCTGCGGAGCTAGCACTAAGACTGAAAGACGCGCGTGAGGAAGTTCCCACTCTGTGGCCGAAAACCATTGTCCTCCATGCCCGAAAAGGTACTTCGTCCGGTCCGGTGTGTGCTGCGTGCTAAGGAGAAGCAGGATACGAAACGTCAAAATCCAAGCAAGCAGCATTTCCGTTTACTAAAGACGTTAGCGTCGACGTGATAGCATCTGCGGGAAACAAACTGTGGAAAGAACTTATGGGTGGCGCCGCCAAAGTCAATATCACGAATGTGCAGCTTGCGTTCACAGGCATCGAGGCCGCCGAAACCGGTCAACAGAGCATTGATGGCTTCTTCAAGGTCAGGGATGTCCACCATCAACCTCTCAAGCGCCCTAGGGACGACGACGACGAATTATCCCCTACGAGGGCTGAGAGTAGCATCCAAGACGTCCCAGAGCAGCAGGAACGATCTTGGACGTCATTTGTCTGCGACCGGTGTCAGAACCGTATTGCACTTCGAGATGACCAACTTGACTGGAGTGACGACGAGCGGGCCCGCGCCTTAGCGACATTGCGACAGGAACACGAAGATTTTCATTTTGCACAAGATTTGGAAAACGGCTCTCCGCTAAAGAAGCCGAGTTCATCATCGCGGCCAGCGTCCAAACGAGGTCGGACTGTGGAGCCCCAAGGTATTGCAAAATTCTTCGGTAAGAAGTGAGAGGATCGTATTACCGGAAACGTGCGAGATTTTTATCAACGCTGTGATCTAACCTATTGGATTGGTTCTGTCGCGAGTCTGTGGGGCCAGATTGTTATATGACCTATGTAGATTCTGTACCTACCAGAGGGATAATATGAGGGTGACGTGCTGAGGCGATGCATTTGGCATGTCTTTGATTGTCTCTGCGATGTTGCATCACTGGACTGCACAGGTTATCGCCAATGTCAAGCAGGGGTATCCAGACATCGATATTGCCCATAAAAGTGCTGCGATGGCAGTTCCAAAAGTCCCCCATCCCAACGTGCTGTTCGCGGGCGTCTTGGGAGTCCTTTCCTTGTTCTTTTTCTTCGTTTCTGCGGACTGGTCCGCTTTTGCTTCTGGGAAGCATTTTGTTAACGGCTAGACCGTGATATATCCTTTTACCCGTTGTTCGCTGCTTCTGTCCGGTCACAGCAAGCATATTCCAGTTACATTTCTTGCTCAGGAATCACGAATCTTACAGGAATGATGGAACAAGTGCTGAAGGGAACGTCCATCGTCTCAGATTTCACTCCTCTGCATTCGGTGCAGTCCAAGGGAGCCGTCGTACGTTTCTTGAGAATGGGGACCTGTCGTATTACTGACCAATCGCTCTGCTATGTCTTAGGTCACTGCTGTGTTTTCTCTCCTTTCTGCCCTGGCTTTGCTTTTTGTGGTGTGCGGATGTACTCGCGTTGTTCTCCGCAGAGGCTCGCCAGGGATATATGGAGCCCCTGAGAACCTATTGTTTCGAACGCACATTGGTCACTATGTCGGAAGTCTCCTCATCGGAAACGTGTTTCTCACAGTAGCTGGATTGATCGAGTTCAAATGGGGTCTTCAATCTGGGATTACTCAAGGTGAGCGAACCTTTTGTGACTTCGTGAGCTCACTCGTCCTCACAGTTGCGAAGGTGCTCTTTGCTTTGCACAGGGTAGGATTGCTCCGTCCTTTTTGGGACGCCTCCCCCCCATTCTTACAATTCTACACAGCTGTCATAATGGAAATCGGGCTATGGAGCACCGCCTTTTTCACGGTCGCAACGGGTATACACACCTGCATTTCCCTTGTTTTCCGCACACGTCAAGTTCCTTGGATTAACCTGGCATGTATTGTTCTAGGATGGGTCATCTCGTTTGTCGTTGGTACGAGCGTCTCTTTGAAGCCTCCTAAGGACTCATTGATCGAGTGTCTGTGTAGCATTGGTCCCCCTGGAAAAGAGCAATTTGTATGGACAAGACGGCATATCGTGCGGCGTCGCGAGAAATTACGGAGTTGAACTTTTCGTTTTGCAGCCACTCCCAGTATGTCCAGATACAACTCTTTCACGTTTTTCATGACTCAAACTGTGTGCGAAGATTTTTATGGGTGTCGCCTGCTCGGGCGCGATATATTCTTTGGTTTTCCTTGTGCTGTTCGGAAAGCTCAGCCCAAAGAACGGTGACCTCGAGATGAATTCTCAGTCTCAACATAGGTGGAGCTTGCTCTATGACTCCAGGGAATACGTTCGTTTCATTGCGGTTCTCGCACAGACCATGTTCTGGTATCCTTTCGGTGAGAGTGGTGCCGTTTGGCGAAAGGTTGTCAATTTGTTTATGCTTGGTACCTAGCGTTTTTCGTGCTCTTATTCCCCTTCTGTGTCACTCGCCTCCTGATCTTTTCTGGGTATTCTCCTTCTGATGCTGCAGACGTGTTTGCAAGAGTTTGTTGTTCAATGCTCGGTAAGTCCTCTTGAAGTGCTGCAGGGGCGTTGTCCTGACGAATCCACCAGGCCTCGCCAACGTTGGTTTGCTGTACAACACTTTCCGGGTCATAAGGCCCTTGTTTAAGATATCTCCTGCAGTCAAGGTCATGGCAGACACCGAGAAGACGTTTGGACACAGCGCATCCCAGGAGTCACCAGTCCGCCCTGAGCCGGCATACATGCCAAGGAGGGATGTTTTACTGCCATCGTTACACCAAAGCCACTATCGGTCAGAGTCCGAATCGAGCGCGAATTCAACCACACAGTTGCTCGGTTTGAAAAGGAAGTCGTCGAAGTACAATGGAATGAGGGTGCGGCAAGCGGGACAACCTTCAGTACCAGGACCATCAAACCGGAGAAAGGCCGGACTCGCCATCACCGTACCACCACCACCATCGGTCGGGGTTCTGAGTCCGCCTTTGGTTACTGTCAAGCTATCTGCTGTTTCCCCTCTTCCGGCCAGTCATGAATCCCAAAGCAAATCTTCGGGGCGGGAAGATGCGAGTGGGGGGTCTCCGCACTTGATCCTTGGTGATGAGCTAGCGGCATTCCCTCCGGTTCCCCTGTCAGCTTATCATGTACCCAACAAGAGTGCGACTTTGGCGTTGCGACTAGGATTGCCTACACCTTCACCTGCGATTACGCCTTCGTCACGGTACATAGTACCTTTCTCGGCCAGCCTTCAACCGCCAACCCCACAACCGCTATCCACTGGACATGACAACGGCAAGGGAGAGGCTCCACAACTTCCTGAAACGTCTATCCCCCGTATCAGTGTCACTGCTCCAGGCGCTGCCTACCGACCTCCCTCGAGCATCCGGCCACTTCCTGACCTCCCCGAGACGCTCGACTCAGATCGCTCCAGTTGCTACTCAAGCTCGGCATCGTCTTCTAGTGATAGCGAAGGCGAGCACCATCACGTACATAGACCATCATCCCCGCGTAGCGCTCTGCGGCCGCTGCCGGCTGTGCCTCCGCCAAATGATGGCGACATCGCAGACGCTGAGTGGCCGTGCACACCTGGTCCCTCTACTCGGACCATCTCTCGGACCTCCGATAGGTCGGACGACAGACGAAGTCGGCGCACGACCATGAGCTCTGTCTGGTCGCAAGACAGCGCATGGACGAAGAGTCAGGCACCGGACAGCGAGGCCATACATGCATATTCACAACTTGTCCCACACGCGGTGTTACCTGGCCACGAGCAGGTGAATGTCGGGCCGATGGCAGCAAAACGCACGGTATTGCCTGCAACTCCGCGATTGGCTACTCTGAGAGGAATGCGTCCGGTCAAGCTCGCGTCGAGGCTGACTGTGCGATTTGCTGGTGTCATCAAGAGCCCAATATCACCTAGCGAGTTCACGATTGTAAATGTGCCTAATAATGATAGTGCTGTTTGAATGAGGATTGAGATGATTTTGCAATACCCTGCTACTACTGTATTTTAGTTTCGAGTGTAATGCCATTCCCCGGTATGACGCGTGTGAGCCAAACTGACGTAGTCCCTGACTCGTTCCTCACTCCAGCCCAACCTGCAGTCAACTGGAACACCTCGACCACAAGAAAATGGCACTCTCGAATTTATCCGCCTACATGAACAGATCAACAAGATACGTCCTGGACAATACCGCCAAAAGCACGTCGCTTTGTAAATCCGCCCACTCATGAATCCCGGCTAACCCTCCGGTCGGTTGTTCCTCCCCCCCAGTTCTCCGCATGGAAGGTGCCAAAGAGCCCTCTCGTGCACCGATGACGCTCTTCACCTTCCAAACCCGCGAGGACCTGAAACAGTTCGCGACGGGCTGTGACGCCGATATTGGAGGTACCTCGACATTGCACTTTGACCTGGATGAAAGCCCGGAGCGGAATAAGGGCATATCCGGGCATCTCGCTACGGCACGGTTCTGGGGCGAAATGCGACTTGATGTACGGCCAGAGCTACGGGGGAGGATACGAGGTGGCTACGCAGGATTCCGGTCCAAGGTGGGCAAAATCCCGACCCCCACGTCGCATCAATCAAATTGATGGTTCTGAGCCAGTCACGACCCTCGCTATTCGGAGAGATATGCGATGACGTGTCGAATCACCAATTTCTCGGGCTGCGCTTGCGACTTGGAGGCGATCCCCGTCTTCGGAACTCCTACTTCGTGAATATCCAGACGGACGGACCGGTCACAACGGATTTATGGCAACACCGACTCTATTTCAAACGGAGCGACGGGGGATGGGAGGACATTTTTGTGCGTAGTGTCTTACTGTTTAGTTGGCTTGAGGGTATGCCTCTCATGCGAATTTCATCACTCATGCTTGCGGGCAGATTCCATTCGACAACTTTATACTCACAAATACTGGTGAGTTGGTACAACATCAGATAACCATGTTCCGAGAACGTATCCGGACGGTTGGGATATCGCTATTGGGAGGAAACAGTGGTGTATCGGGAGCATACGACCTCGGCATCCACTCCATACGTGCCGTCAACGAGGAAGACGTGACGAAGCCCCCTTGTGAGTGTGTTCCCTGACCTTACCCTAGTCCGGACCTAACATGACTCAGCAATGGAGAAGGATCCCTCCTTTGGCGCATGATTTTTGTAACTTCTGCGGTTGATCAGTACATGAGTGAGACCTTCATTTACAAAGCATTTCTATATGAGCGCTTAGGGAGCAAGAAGACGAGACTAGTAACGTGTACAACGATGGACGGCAAGAAAAGCGCCTGAAGGAATGACCTTGGTGACTGTTAGAAAGAAATCCCGTAAAGCTTTCGGTAAAACGAACGAGAAGATCACAACAATACTACCAGAAGAGCCATTTCCATGGTCACCGTTGGAGCCCTTGTGTACTCTAGTTGCATCGCCTGGGTTGGCTATAACAAGTGCCCGCAGTACCTGAAAAGCATGCCGAGTACCCTCTGATAGCGTCTGATCCCACGGACGGGTTTGGAGCCTTAACGACGTCGGTGCACATCTTGGCCCACGTTTTTATAAATCTGAAGCCGAGGTGTTGTACGAGATTTCGGCCCTCCGTTTATGGTGCCTATAGTAAATCAGGGTGTGGTTCATATGTAACGAAGTCCTCTACCGATGTGCCAACTTTGCACTTGTATTTGCTAACGACGAGGATGACCGAGAACGAGTCCAGCTTCTTCACACGGAGAATTTGATGGAAAGCGCTGGCTCCCTCAAAGAACTTGCGGGGGTGATGGAGTACACGAAAAGGAATCCCCCACCCGTTCCCATGCCTAGGACCCCAAGGCATATGACCTCACCAACGATGACACGCTGCATCTGAGTGATAAACGTGAGAGCGAAGTGTTCCAATATCTGGTACGGTACAACTCACCTTCAACGGTCGGGTCATCCCGGTTGTTGGAGCCGTTCTCGATGGATTGGGTGCCGTGAGAGCAGGTTTACTGGTGCCTTGTTCAGCATAAGAACTGGGAGAGTTAGCTGGAAGAGGACGGGACAACGTATCACCAGCGCCGACGATGACGTGGTACCGAAGTGTATCGGGCCCAGAAGTAGATCAATATTACCTGCTCCGCGTATACCCTGGATATAGTTTCTTTATAGAAGTAGCTCGCGAAGGAAACTGGGACAACGATAAAAATAGGATAATTAGCCTGTGTCAATTGTGACAAAAGAGGTCTGTGACACGATTCAAAGTGTCAGGTGTTGTCTGAAGACGTGCATATCACTATTAGGAGAAAGGAATTGTGTGTTGGATACATACGATCTCTGTAATACTCACCTTCAAAGCAAAGAAGTCACCTCGTGAGAGGGATCCACTGACCTTGCTCTAGTCAGACCTTACGAACTTCGGAAATGGAGAGGTGTCCCTTTCACGTTATTTTGTAGCTTCTGCGAACTCAATTCAGTTGATCAACACATAAGCATAACCTATATTTACAATGCGATCCGCATGAGTGGCTTAGAGAGTGAGAAGAAGGCGGTAGAGACGTGTACAATGCTGGGTGGCAAGAGAAGTACCCAAAGGAATGATGGACACCTTGGAATTTGTTAGAAAGATGGAAAAAGAAAATCCGTATAACTACCGGTAAAATGATACTAAGAAAAGATCACACGACAACACAGCCGGAGCAGCATCCTCCATGATCACCATCGCCCATGTCTTTGGAGCCGCTGTATACTCCAGGTACGTTCCCTGCGTTGGCCATGACCGGTCTACCCGTTTGTTGTTCCTAAGGAGCATTTGCTGGATTACTTTTTGTGACGCGAATGAAAGTTATGGGCTTATTCACCTTATTGTACTTTCTAATCTCGCGGACGAGGTTTGTGAAAGCCTCGTCGACGTTGATGCGCTGCTTAGCCGACGTTTCTATGAATTTGCAACCAAAATGTTTTGCAAGATCTCGACCCTCTGTTATTGTTATTGTGGTTGTTGTTGATTTGCGTGAACAAGGGTTGCTCTGTACATGTAAATGAGGAAATACTCCTACCATTCATACCAACTTGGCGCTCATACTCAAGATCGCACTTGTTGGCAACGACAATGACGGGGAACGAATCCTGATCCTTAACACGGAGAATTTGTTGGTGGAAGGTGCTAATTTCCTCAAAGGAGTTGCGAGAGGTGATAGAGTATACAAGAAGGAATCCCTCGCCCGTTCGCATGTACTGTTCGCGCATTGCCCTGTTCGATTCAACAGTATATAATGGTAGGAGAATAAAAGGCGGATGAAGTTTGACATACCCGTATTCTTCCTGTCCGGCGGTGTCCAAAACGTCGAGGAGTGCGACCTCGTCATCGATGACACATTGCTTGCGGTACGAATCTGAGTGGCATGAGCACGATAAACGGAACACAATGCTCCACCATCTGACGTATTACCCACCCTCGATGGTCGGGTCGTATTCGTCGACGAAGTGGCTCTGAATGAATTGGATGGTGAGTGCGGATTTACCGACACCTTTGCGGGTGCATGAGTTCTGGAGAGTAATTGGAAGAGGATGAGACGACGCACCACCTCCGCCAACGACGACGAGCTTGTACTCCCTCAAGAATTGTGCCTAGCCACGAAGGACATCAGTCATTGGGGTGTCAACCGAAATAGAATGCCGCGTGTACCCTTGACATGGTATCTCTCACTGCTCAGAGAAGCAGAAGCAAGAAAATAAAAAACAAGAAATAAGTACTCGACGCTGAGAGCCAGACAATTGGCGGTGCAAGATAAAAATGATTAGGCGACGACTACAAACAACAGACAACACAACGCAGGGAATGTAAACCCGTGGATCACATTCATATACCATATTCCCCATGATTGCAGTGTCTTATCCTAGTACACTCATCAAACATTCTAAAAAATGGAATTTATCAGGTCATTTCCAATCGCCGCACCTGAAAATGGGTTCCCAATCAGTTACTCCGAGTTTACACGGCAACGAGATAGATGGCGTGACTTCTTACCAGCGCCGAAACCAAGCCCTCCCGCAGCGGATTGTGCCATCTGAACTGTACATGAGTGATGGGATCGCGCGCGCTGGTTCCGATACGTACGGTCGTGCCAAGATTGCCAAATCTTCCCTGCTTGGATGGTTGTTGGGGTGTGGGCTGGAGTGACTCCGTGGGAGGATAGTAAGGGGGTCCATATTGATGCGGCAGTCCCGGTAATGGGCCATAATGCTGTGGCAGGCCAGGTGGTGGCCCATAATGCTGTGGCAGGCCAGGTGGTGGCCCATAATGCTGTGGTGGCCCTGGGGGTGGGCCGTATGGATGCGATGGCGGTGGCCCGGGAGGTGGAAGATACGGCGGACCAGGAGACGCTGGGTGTTTCTGCGACGGCACAGGAGAAACGGTATATCTTTGTACCGGCCCGGTTCTCGAAGACGATGTATCCGACTTGGGCGTGCCCGGGAAGGGCGGGGGAGATGCTTTCTCGCTGAATGATCTGAGCTTCTCCACATACGCAGCGGGGAAGAGCCCTTGCTTTCCAGCTCGATTGCGACCAGTCCACCAATCTTCATTTGTCTCGTTGACGATTTCTATGATCTCACCAGCATGGAAATTCAGATCGCTAGGATCCTAGAAAGATATATGTGTGTATGTGTCATAATGGTAGGGCGATATCGACCCCTTACCTCGCTCGTCCAATCCCACAAAGTCCTAGCCTCGACCTTTGCCTGGTTCTTGCTGGACGATAGGCTCAGGTGCGATGCTTTCTGTGTCAGGGCTGTTATGGACGTGTTGGACGGAGATTCAGCACGAGAAAGGATCGCCAAGATGTCCCGGCCATCGTCCTGTGGAATCTGGTTGTGAGTGATGAGCAACTCGATGTTCTGTCGTGTCTGGGAGATAATGTGAGCGAATGCGGGCGATGGCTCTGGCATCTCTTTGATACTCGCTGTAACTAGTAAACGGTCCGAGCTCAAGTAGCACCGTCACACGGATGGAGCGACAGACTCGTAGGACTACTGATCTTGGACATCTGAACTACAGCTTGTCACCCTCAGCACTACATATCTCTGAAGCAAACCTTGAAGGATGTGTTGTGCCAGCCAATGCCACTGCTGGTGGGTTTTATATAGGATAAAGTTAGGCAATAGGAACGGAATCTACAGCCAGACAGAGCATGCATCATTGTACTAAGATAAAGTCCCTCATTACACACATGAAGTGAAAGGCGTTCGAAATAATGGGGATATTGGCGGTGACCGATATGGCTGGGGTGGTGGAAGTGAGCTTGGAGGCCGAGCACAAGCGACACCGGAGACGAGCATTTCTGCAACGGTGTAGGAGAAGTATATTTTTTAAACTGGACCGATGTCCATAGACTGTGTACCCAGCTTGCTGGGAGTGTCTAGGAGAGACAGAGGGGTCTTAATCATCTCCATGAAATATTTTCTTCACATACACAGGGGGAAACCCCCCCTCCTTCCCAGCTCGGTTGCGACCAAACCACCAATATTCTTCTGCCTCGCTAGTGATCTCTATGATCTCACCGGCACGAAGCTCAGGTCGCCTGGACTCTAGAAAAACGCGCAGGTATCACGACAATGAGACGATTTCATTGGCTCGTGTCATAAACCTTACCTCGCCCCTCCAACTGTTCAAAGTCACAGCCTGGACCCCCGTCATGAGAGGTGGCGATATCCTCGGGTAAGAAGCTTCCTGTGTTAAGTCTGGGTTGGATGCGTCGGACAGAAACTCGGAATCGGAGAGCTCCATCAATATGTCCTGATCATCGTCCGAAGATGGCTCGAGCATCCTTTTCATAGGCAACTGCCATTATTGTGAATGCACGAGCCATGCGGCGGTCATGAACACGATATACCTGTACACGGGGCGCTATACCACCGGTAGACTTACGAGCAACTTGTATGGGCTTGGGCATCTCCTGTAGAAGATGTTCAGAATACTAGTCGACTGGGACCAGACTTGAGCCGAATCCTCTCCGCGAGCCAGGATGTCTGCGCACATTGCAAACAGGCAAACAGATCTCTCATGGTTTCTACCACAGAGCGAGAGTAGGTGATCTGTCATACTCACGATGGTCACCAGAAGATGTCTGTGGGAGAGGTTAATTTGAAACGAGGGACAACACTTCCACAGATCCCCTTTGGATGAAGTGGAACTATGTCAGTTACCGAGACCTTCAAAGCAACTGAAACATGTAGTACGCTGTAGCTGTCAAGGCAGAACCATCCAGCCCATCTCCTCTCATTGGTAGATCCCTCGCTACTTCCAATGCCAAATAATTCTCTCCTTGCTCTTACAATTTCCAACTTCCGTGTGTGCAGTACAAACATAACAGAAAAGACTGGGGTGGTAGTTTCGAGGCTTTGGACCTCAAGATCAAAAGAACCATGATTAGGTGAGTGACCTAGATCGTTACATAACTAGCTAACAGAGACAGTTGCCGACTAATAAGTGAGGTTTTGCATGTCCTGATATGGTCAAGTCAAGTCCCGTTCCTGTCTAAATGGCTACCTTGAAACCTAACTCGTGCGATCTCGCTTCTGCGACAACCCGGACATAGTACGAGGCAAATGGGGGAGCACGACCTCACAGGGAAGAATTCGTCCCCCAGTTCCGACTTGTCCAGACCATCAGCAGTTCGACATTGTTTGATTGACGCTTCACCCTGCAATTGAAATGACAGCCGTGTGTCGTTGTCGTCGGCCCCTCGGCTTTTTTTTCTAGTGCCTCTACATCTTATTTGACAGAGTCGAGCGTCAAGATTCACAACGTTCGCGATCACCCGCGCATGGTGATGATCTCAACGGTTCATTCCCATCCAAGCGCGAGGCATCCCTAGCTCCTTCTGTATCTTCATCAGCTACTGATCCAGGGTCCTCAACCATACCTGATGGCACACAAGTCGTGATCACCATGTTCTACAGGAACCCTAGCAGTCTGACGTGCCTGCCGAGTATACATCCTTGGTTTGAACATCAGGCATTGGAGCGGCCCCTGGCCGAAGGCTTCTGCGAGATTGATATCAGGCATGAACATTTGATTGACATGATGTCGATAGCACGATGCGGTGTCGTGTTTGATGGGACAGTAGAGGTGCTTGCATCGGTCATGCGTGTGTGGACCTACATAGTCCTCTTCATCAACAGCACTACGCCACTGATATATGGTGTGTGTACCACATCAAATAGCGCTGTCGGGAATCACTAACTGGTGGGCAGTGGGCAGGAAATTTGGGTGGGCTCTTTCGATGTTGCTTTTGAAGGTGAGCGTTCTGTTTGTGTGCCCATTTAAGTGACCGCCCAATATTGCACTACAGTGTTTAACACTCGAATACGGATACGAGTCTGATCCAAGACGAATGCCTCTTCAGTCACGTCATACAATTGGTGCTGCATTAGTATTGGACAGCGGTAGGACATTGAGTGCGGTTTCCCATGAAACGATGCAATCAATGTTGCGGCTGCTTCGGGTTACTGTTGAATCCCGTCTGGTGCCAATTTATTCCGGCTTTCTCCATTTTATATTCGCCTACTCACCGTTCTGCTCGCTAGGCATAAAGCTTCCTCAATCACTAACCGGTTACCATAAAAATCCGCGTGTTCCCTCGTCACAGGACGAATAACGATCATACATAACATTGAGCGGTGCATGTTTATTACGTTTCATATCTCTCTTACACTTCTCCCGCAACATTTTTGATTCATTAGCTGGCGTTTCCCCACTAACCTGGAGGACCTTCGATATGTGTTGCAGCGAATTCGGCATCGGGCAGTGTACATGACGGCAAACAAACGGTGAGACAGTTTGGAATAGATACTGATATTGCCCGTTGATTCGGTTTCTTGTCACACGTCCGACATGGAAATTGATAGCCGAGTCTATGTGCATTGTCGTTGAGACAGCGCAGTACATTCTAGTGCTGCGGGTGGTTTTATGTTCTTTTAACTCCCCCTGTCAACAACAATATGTGCAGGTGTGTACCCGATGACTCACGAGAAAGAGTAAGCGGCTGTGCTAACAAAGTGAAGTCAGGCCAAACCTCAGGCTGCAGGTAGTGCGTGCCCTTCATTACATCTTTATATGCCGACCCCAATAACCGGCACTGCAGGAATGAGGTCGCTCGTATCTTGTGCTGAACTACAGGTTGCCCTAGCACGTATTCTTTTCTTTTGTAGCGTGACTAACTAATCACTATCCTTTTTTTTTTTTTAATAACCGATAGTCTTCGACGTTGCGCGGAATTGACATGGGTAATGTGGAATTAATCAAAGTTTTCGGGTGTGGACGGCCTGATCCCGCGTGGTGTGAGGGAGTGCAGGTGTTAGTATTCGATTACAGGGCTCCTCTATCACCCCGTTGACGTTTCATACTCACACCGTTGACCAGTGCATCGTGAGGTAAAGTGTGGCGCACGCGTGTGTATCATGATGATGAGGCGATATTAACTCCTTACCTCGCTCATCCACTCCCACAAAGCCCTAGCCTCGACTCTTGCCTGGTCCTTGCTGAACGATAGGCTCAGTTGCGATGCTTTCTTTGTCAGGTCCGTGATGGACCTGTTGGATGGAGACTCAGCACGGGAAAGGATCGCTAAGATGCCCCAGCCATCGTCCTGCGGAGTCTGGTTGTGAGTGATGAGCAACTCGATATTATAAAGTGGGTGAATGCAAGCGAGGACTCGAGCATTTCTTCGATAGTCTCTGCAACTAGTAAACGGCTCGGGCTCAAGCAGTACCGTCACACGAGAGCGTCAGATTTAGGAGCGACAGGCATAGGACAAGCAATCCCAGGCATGCAGACTTCTCATTTTGCGCCGAACTACACATATCATCAGGAACGGAATCTACAAACAGACGCTACATATCATGAAGTCCCTCATTAACATATGAAATAATAAAACATTCGAAATCATGGAAATACTGATCTTGACGAGGAAGACCTAGTGGTTCAGGCGTCCCATCATGGCACGACAAATCGCGGTGGTGGGCCATATGGATAGGGTGGTAGTGGTGGGCCGGGAGACCGAGTATGAGTATCCGGAGGAACAGGAGACAAGTATTTCTGCAACGGTGCAGGAGAAGTATATCTTTGAAATGGACTGGTGTCCACAGACGATGTACCCAGCTTGCCGGGAGTGTCTAGGAGAGACAGCGGGGTCTTAGTCATCGTCATCAAAGACCTTCTTCACATACACAGGGGGAAAACCCCCCTCCTTCCCAGCTTGGTTGCGACCAATCCACCAATATTCTTCTGCCTCGCTGACGATCTCTATGACCTCACCAGCACGGAAGCTCAAGTCGCTGGGATCCTAGAAAAACACGCGGTTATCATGACAATGAGACAATCCCATTGGCTCGTGCCATAAACCTTACCTCGCTCCTCCAACTGTCCAAAGTCACAGCCTGGACCCCTGTCGTGAGAGGTGGCGAAATACTCAGGTCCGAAGCTTTCTGTGTCAGGTCTGTGACGGATGTGCTGGACAAAGACCCAGCATGGGAAAGCCTCGCCAAGATGTCCCTGCCATGGACTCGTGGGATCTGGTCGTAAGCGATGAGCAACTCGACATTCTGTCGCGTCTGGGAGATGATGTGAGCGGACGTGCTGGACGTCGGGGACCTAGCACCGAGCTTCGCCAAGATATCCCGGCCTTCGTCCTGTGGGATTTGATTGTAAGCAATGAGGTGCTCAATGTTTTGTTGTGTCTGGGAAAAGATGTGATTGAACTGAGATGGCTCGGGAGTCTCTTCGACAATAACAAACTATAATTACACCGTGAGCACACGGACCATGCGATGACCGCGAACACGAAGTACCTGATTACGTGGCGCCGTGCCACCGGTAGTCTTACGAGCAGTTTGCTTGGTGCGGGGCATCTCCTATGGAAGACGTTTGGGATATGTACGTCGATTGGTCACTCGAGTACGGGTGGTGCTCTCTTGTCACGTGACAGTAAGTACCCTGCTGTTTGCAGGCTCTGGCCTCTGAATCCATCCTTGCACCGGCACGAGTGAAGTCGCTTGGTTACAATTCAGACACTCGTCTTGTACTGAATTGCGGATCAGTCGATCATCGCCCAAGCGCGTACTCTTTCATTTTGTCGCGTAGCTAACCAACAACTGTCCTTTTGACCATCGTTTATTGTCTAGTCTTCGACGAGTCCGTGCAGAATTATTATGGGTGGTGTTGGATTAATCAACGCTTTTAGGTGCGGACGGTTTCACCTTGCATGGTGTGAGAAGGTGTATAGTTGTCAATATTTGATACAGGGTCCTTCCATCACCCCGTTGACATTTCTTACCAATACTAGCGCAGAAGGTAAAGTGATGGCTTTACGCGACGAATTCGTAAGGCCACACGACCCCCGAAACTAACGGAAAACCGCAAGCTATCCTCACCGGCAATGCACCTCCAACCCGCAACATTTGACTGCGTCTTCCCGGCGGACGCACGGGCAACGGCGGGGTGATTATGTATGGTGCAGATCGGCGATATGTAAGCCACCAATTCTGTGTAGTCTCAGGTCTTTTTTGACTCCCCTAAGCCGTACTTATGCCGTGCGCGCGCGCCCCCAGAGTGGGATGGGCTGACGGGGCGGAATGCTGCTGCTGAATAAGAGGGCCTGTGGAGGTGCTCCGATCGTTGACTGTGAGAATGGAGGGGTACAGGGTGCAATTCCGTTCACACCAGGTGCGACCTGTGGCTGTCACGATGGACCACTGTCCTGCTGTGCTTGAGCGCCACTTCGGATACATCTGTTTGCCGTTCTCATCAGGCTAATGTCACTTAATTCGGAAGGGGTACACATACTGGTTTCGCCTGTACCATATCATATCTCGTTGAACGTGTTGATGCTCGTCGCGGATGCTTATCTGCAGGGGGCTGCTTGGATTATTCTTATTCACGTGCGGGATGCCACGTGGCGGGAGGGACGGGAGGAGCGTGGGAAGAAGGAGTGCTGACTGAGAAGGCTTTCTAATGCGATCTTAGCCGTGGGTCAGAAGCGTAAATGGGACTTGGACATCGCTCAGCATCATCTCCCCTCTGACCAACCACCCCTCCTGCTTGTACTACCCCCCATCCGGAAGCCCTCCGCTAGTAACCAACCCTCGCCGGCGTCTGACACCCTTCTTAAACGCTAGTCTCTGTCAGCGATCCTGTTGCCCAAAATCATTCCACCACCATGTCCGATCCAGCCCTCCCTCAGGGCGTCCAACGCGTATTGAAAATAATCGTTATATCTGACTATGTACGTCTTTCACATCCTTCATTCTGCCGATCATATTCATGTCATCCTTGATCACTCTGCCACCACAGATATGTGCCTTCTGCTATATCGGTAACAAGGTCCTCTACGACGCCATCGAGGCATGCAGGGACCTCCCCGTCCGCTTCGACGTCGAGTTCAGACCATTCGCATTACTCTGTCCAACATCCCCAAATGTCGACAGGAAACCTTCCCGGAAGGAATATCTCTTCAAGAAGTTCGGCCAGGAGCAGGCAGAAGCGAAGTTGAAAGTGGTCTACGAGATGGCACAGAAAGCAGGCCTGGAAATGTGCGTTTATCACACACCCCACACACCCCATCCAACTACTTACGTTTCCCCTTTTGATTCGGCATCAGAGCCGAAGACGGCGTAGTATGTAGGCCAAACTTGGCACACAGACTCGCTGTAAAAGCATACCATGTTGGCGGACAAGACATGCAACGGGAATTCAACGACATTATCTTTAAAGCGGCATTCGCAGACGGAAGAGACATCAGTGATCCTGATTTCCTAGTCGACACAGCTGCGCGGGTCGGCCTCATGAACAGAGAAAAGGTACCTCGCTATCCATCTCGCTAAGCAACCACCCCTCTCAGTACCCATCCCAGGCCTCAGAGTTCCTGAGGTCGACAGAGTGTCAGGACTGCGTAGACAAGATGATCGATGCTGCCAAAGCAAATGACGTGAAAGGCGTGCCATTCATCATCATCGACGGGAAATGGGCGTTGAACGGCGTTCAACCCAAAGAATGCTACATCCAGGCTAGTCTGCCGTTTCAGCTCCTTGAATGTTCCTTTGCACGTTCTCAACGTCAATCGCAGATCTTCCGCAAATTGGCACTACCACCCGAGCCCCTGACACCAGTGGGAACACCACGATCGTGCAGCGACTGCAGACCCCCGGTCAACTCGCCCCCTCTTCCCGTACAATGACTTCCTTCCTGCTGTGCCTCCTTGTCTTTCTCCTGTTTGCCTAGCATATTTTCCCTCGCATCTCGCCCTCGTCTCCCCGTACTTACCTCCGGGAACGCGCCCAACCCTATTTCGGCCTCATGGTTTCCACATCTTTCATTATGGCTTAGTGTTTTTTTGCCATAACGTCAGAAGGTGCGATAATCACGAGGCCGTCGCTCTAACGGCGTCCCATTTTGCGGATTACGGTTGTCTCTCTCGACCTCGACATCACACTGGTATGTTTGTCATCTCAGCTGCCAAGCAAAGTAGTAGGTTTCTTTTCCCTCCTTTTGTATATATTCATTTTTTTCTTCTGCTATGGATTTCAGCTGTCCATAAGTCATACCCGTGAGCGTGAGCGGCGCCACTGAGGCACTACCTGACTAAGTGTGTGTTTGCAAATAGAACAGACGTGATAGGGCATGTCATTCTTGCCATATACGACAGTGGCGGAACGGGAACAGTGCTAAAACCATACACACTATCGCGGGGACGCTCCAATTAATCGGTACAACGACTCCTGTCCATCTTCGCCACCGAACAGCAGAATGGAACGTGATTATTGTTCGCGGCGGTGACTATTGAAACGTCTACCATGATGACCAACATATCGTTGATCAATCGATCGTTTCGAAGGGTCATAGCCGCTGGGCGAGACGATCAGTCTGGATTGCAGAGAACGCTCGAGCCTTTCTGATGATGAGAGTCTTGATACGGGAACCCTCCTACTACCTCGTATCTCTGTGCTCCCTCTTCAAAACCGTACCAACACGAAAATAGCCTGGCAGTCCCAAAATCGAGCGCCTCAGTGAGACTTGACAACTTCGACGGGCGATACTACGGTGTTCCCCGACGGTAATTAAGCTCGGATCTTGGGAAACCTGGGTGGTTTAAACAGTTGCCATCGAGGGGGGCAGCCACTAATGATTCTCCCTAAATACACATAATGAACCAGCATTTCCAAAAGCTCGCGACTTTCGGCCACTAGGCTCTGAAGCACATTTTGGGTCCTGCGGACTCGAGTACCCCTTATTATTATTATTCCCTGCTTTGAGTGCTAGAAGGACGCATTTCCCGCCCCTGATTATAGATAACCATCACTGGCACTGCGGGATTAGGCAAAACGGTTGACGAACCCCATCTAACATACACCCACCAAGACGAACTGGCAACATCGATGCTACATACATATTTGCTTACCAATGAGAAGAGAAGAGCGCTTTGCCGCGATATCGCCTCGTCATAACGACCGAGCGGCGCCATCCACACGCAACCAAAAGAGAAAACATACCGAAGTGTCCCCGCGCTCTCCTCCTGTATGATAATTTGCACTTGGGATACCTTGACTGACCCATGCGTCTACGACCGCTCGGTTGGTGTGCTCTTCGATCGTTTTTTTCACTTGACATTTGCCCACCCCGACGATATCGAATATATACACCGCAACCCGCGGAAAACGGACCAGAAACTTTCCGCGCCATTCAAGGCCCTACGATTACCCGGGAGTCAGTCAGCCTATCCCCGAGCTTTAAAAATAAAATGCGTTCAGACCTTGGTCCTTACACTTTATCCAGACACTTTTCCGGGCCCGCCAGCCCTCTAGAGATCCGAGACGTTAATCGCTTGACGAGTATCCACTAGCAAGATGCCCATTCACAGATTCCAAAGTGGCGATCTAGGCAACCGGCCTGGGACTCAGGTGGGTCACCACCCTGGACTCCAGGAGAGTAGGTGTGGAGTAGGTGTGCGTAGTACCTGCTACTCGTTCCTGTGGGCATGTAGCACAGTGCTCCACTGAACGTCTGCATCTAAGCAACCGGCCCCGGGACTCAGGTTGGTCACCGCCCTGGGCTTCAGGAAGGTAAGGTGTGGAGTAGGTGTGCGTAGTACCTGCTACTCGTTCCTGCAGGCATGTAGCATAGTGCTTCACTGAACGTTACCGTCAGCGCGCCACCGATCAGCGCCACCATTAACGCACAGGGAGGACGGTGTGCTTGAACCTTCCCAGGTAACTTACTGTTTGCAAAACCTGTGGCCACAAGCTACACTTCGAACATGTCCGTCGTGTCTTGCAATGCTCCGAATGCGCGTAGATTGGCGCAGTAGTTCCTGGCCAAGTTGCTGCTTAACTTCACGCGTCAAAAGCAAGAAATGACTGTCACTGGACAGTGATTAGTGAAGCCCAAATCCAATTTCAAACTTGTCAAACTAAAGGACCCAATTGAACAGAAGGCGATCCATGATCTTGAACATTCGTCGCCATATACATTCCATGTCACTGTAAGGGGAAGCCTTCCATGTATGTTTCCCAAGAAATCGTGACCCTTCGTGGCCACACAACGTTGTTTCGTGCACGAAGCAAGCAGGCACTACTTTACGCCCAGGAGTAATCATTAATGTAAGACACCTCGTAGGGTCGACTTCTAGCAAACCAGGGAAGCCAGCCGAAAAAATGTCTGAACTACTTAAGTAACTCGTTCTTCCCTGTCATTAGCAACTCGTCGCTCGGTGGGGTATATGCCGAACGATAAGTGAATAAACAGGGATCAAAGCATGTCACAGAAGAGATGTCTTGTTCCTATATACAGGCAGCAGCCACGCTGCTACCAGTGATCTGGAGCTGTTTTAGCGTCTTGCGCAGCCATCACCTGCACGTTCTGGCACACAGGAAACGCAAGTAGTCTCGCAAGAGGCTGATAGGAACTCACCACTCTTCTTGTGAGAGAAGGGAAGGACTTGCTCCACTGGAACGGATTACCCAGTTAGTACTGAAGGTGACCACCTCGTTTAAGGTCCAAACTCCTAACCCAAGGCGTTCCTACCAATCGGGTGAGAGATAGAAATCCATGTTATACATTGTCATGTTCAGAGAGAATGAAGAAAAAATAGACATGGCAGTTCCCCATTGCACACAACCCACGCAGCTTGCACAACGTGAGGTATGCGGACAAAGAGGATATACGATTGAGAGAATAATACGTTAGTGGCTAAGCGGGAAAAAAAAAAAAAGATTGAAAGAGAATACCACGAAACGACTGTCAACGTGTAGAGTGTCAGAGTGATGGGTGGGTATGAGATCCGGATCCGAAGTAGCGGTGGATGACGATGATGGAGAAAGAAACAATCATTCTCAACATGCTCGACCTTGCGGCAAGTAGAAACCGACGAAATGCCGAAAGCAGAGCAAGTTCAGCAACGAAACTTGCAATATGTACGATAGCAATGGGAAAGTCATGTGCGTGTCGTTAAAATATCTACGTCCAGTATACCTATGAGAAACGATCGTTTCGTAAGTATTGGGCAAGACACATCACCGAAAACCTACCGAAAAAAAGTGCCGTAAAGACCGCGGCCGGCGCTACCACCCAACAACCAGTGATGGGTCTCATGCCCTACAGCAAAACAAGCTAGCAAAAAATCCCCGCTTCTTCGGATGTCTATCGTCTTCCATATCGTCTGGACCTGGCATCTGGCTTTCGAAGACGGCCATCCCCCGAGCATGCACGACATCCCGCGGGCCGGTGCCAGTGGTGTCATCTCTTGAGTTCGCAAAGTTCTTGACACCTGGTGCCTGCGTGCCGTACACAACAGAGTCCGAAGTGTCGTTCCGTCCAACGTGACCTCCATTCTGAACGCCCGGAATGGGTGAGTGGCGGTCGTATCCGTTGCCGGTCCGGAACCCTGAAGGAACAGCGGGAGCTGGTGCAACCGCATATGGATGGGAAGGAATCCCCGAGTCTCGTATCTGCTGGCTGACTCGCCTGGTCGTGGGAGCTATTGGTTGGACACTGGCATCTCCGCGCCCACTCGAGTCTCTGTTACCGTTACCATCGCGGGTTCCAGGCCGCCGATTTGCGTTCCTAACGTGCGCAGGCGTAGGAGCAAGGACGAGAGGGGTAGATGGTGTAACGCCTTCTGCGAGGCCACGCGGCCGACGACTGGATTCGCGATGGCGGGGTGTATGCGGAGTGTTAGTAGTAGCATGAGCCTGGACGAGTAATGATGACGGTGTCTACGCGTGAACATCGTTATAACAAAGGGGCAAGGGGGGGATACGACGACTTACATTACTCGCTTCCCATCCCTTGCCATTGTTCAACAGCATCCAGTCATAAATGCCGTCTTCTTGTTCACCAATGTTCTTCAACACCTTGGTGAAGAGATCGCGAAGGAAGTCATAGTCTGGGGCTTCCTCGAAACCGAGTTTCCGGACATAATTCATGTAGATACTGAACTCCTCTGCAGACACAGCATCAGCGAACGATTCCCTTATGGGAAGGACGACAGCCATCACGCAAACGGCAAACTGCCACAGGCACAACGAAAGAACAAGGACTAACCTGGGAAGCCTTCGCACAGCTCCGCAATAGCTGTACTTTGCTTCTTTTCCCCAATCTTCTCGTACTTTTGTTTGTTTGTGGCCGCTCTGAGACCTTGCCAGGGCAAGCCACCTCGCAAGAAGTACATAAATACATGTCCCAGCGACTCCAAGTCATCCCGACGAGACTGTTCACGGCCGAGATGGGTGTTGATGGACATGTATCGGGCAGTGCCGGACAGCGATTTACGTTCACGATAGGGGATATGAACTTTAGTCTTGGGATCACGGTAGTGTTTTGCCATACCGAAATCTATTATCAAAAACGACATAAGCATCTCACTTCGAAAGGAGCACGGCAAAAACCGCCATCAAGGCGATGACAGGTTACAGAGGACAAAGGGGACAGGCGGCAGTGGCAAAGGACTAACCAATGATGTGGATGACATTAGCGTTCTTAGTCCCGGGAACGCCAATGAGAAAGTTATCAGGTTTGATGTCTCTGTAAATGAGCGACTTGTCATGGACCGATTGGATGCGTGTGATCTAGAGAACTCCGATAAGTCCATTGAATCGCAGGATAAGGGTCGAGAAGAAAAAGGTTAAGGCCTTCTTTTCAAGGGTACTGATCTAGCTTGGCATCACATCGCCATTTCCATGCCGGATGTGTGACAGGAGACCGAACCAACCCTCAATATCAAATTTCAGGCTGCCTCACCATTTGTTTTGCAGCCATAGACACTGTCTTGACGGTGAACTTGCGGCCACACATGTCAAAGAGGTCCTCCAGGTTAGGGCCCAACAAGTCGATGACAAGGACATTGTGGAGACCCTCCTGGCCAAAATGATGGACTTGGGGAACGCCCACTAAAGAATCACAACAACGAGGGGTTCATTACGGAAGAAGTGTGGGCGAGACGCAAAAAGTGACGAACCTGTACCAGTCAATGTCCTGTACGATCGAAATTCATCCCGTAATTGCGGGGCGTCAGATTTTCGTGGTTCCTTTGGGGAAGGGATCAATCCTTAGTGGTTCCCTGACCCACAGTGCGACGAGAGCACGTACGAATTTTATGGCAACTGGCTGGCTATTGAGGAGCTTCGTGCCTATTGAGCGGCCCGGTGAATAAGAGAACATGAAACGGACAAAGCAAAAATTAATCGACGCCGGAGAGGGATCTCAATTGTTTGACCCTGACTCAACAGTGACCCGAAGGGGCCCGCAACGCTGGCTCCTCCGGCTTCACAGAAAACATGCTCGATGACCCGCCACTCTCATGCCCCGACGGATGAACGCCACACCAAACCATATGCCTAGTCGAGCGCTAAAACGTCGTAGTCCGGCGTCGGACGGTATCTCGGTGCGGAGGTGTTCAAATGGACACACAAACCGACGGCTCACCTTCGAAAACAACACCGAACGAGCCCTCGCCGATTTTCTTGCCGACTCGGAAGTGGTTCCCGACGATGCCATTTGACGTGGTACTCTGGTGGTGTCCTGAGGAGGACGATATGACATGCGGGGTCGTCATGTGATAGTGATGGCTGTGATTGTGGTTGTGGTTGTGTGCGGATAGCGATGGAGAAGGGAGACTGGGGGGAGAGGGGTAGTGTGGAGGAGAGGACGTCCCAGGCCCAGTCCTGTCCGGAGAGGAAGAAAATAAAATGTCAAAAGCAAAAACAAAGACAGCCAGTAGTAGAATATTTACGATAGCGGACTTTGAATTGCCTTGTTCGTACACGTTTCCGTTAATGTACTACGGCCCTATGTAATCCACGTACAGTACAGATCGTCCCCAGCCTCAGCACAGACAACCGGTAGGTAGGGCTCCGTACCACGCTGGACGACTGCCCTTCGCGTTGCTAAGGATGCTCGGTAAGTCCTGCGTACCGCGCGTCGCAGTGGCAGAGCGCCGTTGAAGAAGACGCGTGACCGATGCAGGCACTACTAATATCCGATCAAACACGACCACTGACATTACGCCAGCCTGGTGTCAAACTTCTAGCAGCCTTCTGCAGGAGCGGGCACCGTTGTCCAGCCTAATAGGATGAGAAGCAACGGTTGCATCCGAAACTTATCAATCGAACAAAGTAGGAGCGGAGCACCCATACTTACGTATGTATGTACATACCTCGCCGACCTTTTTCAAGACTCAAACACAACAATCTGATGCACATTCGCTACCGTGGGCCAAACTCCCTTCGCCCCCATCTCCTTCCGCTGCAACATAAATGTATGCACAACCGTGGCCGTCGGCATAACAATTCGGCACACCACAAACCCAGCTGGGGGCCGACGTAAAGCATGTCGTAGCACACGTGTCTCATCTCGCCAGCACTAGTACACACGGTCTTAAGTTCGGAAGGGGGTATGCCACAGTGCAACGAGGGAAGGGCGACGAGCTTAGTAATAACCTCCAGTCGACCGCGTTTGAATGCAGAACACCCGTTCATACCAATCACCAGCCACTGCACGGAAGAGGAACCTACTCACCTATGTCACCAACGGACGCCTGGGAAGTCGAAGCAAGCGTCCGATCCCGAACGAGAGGTCTGCTTCTGCTTATGGTAAGCAAAGGGTGCGAGGCGTGAATATGCTGAGCCAAGACTAGCACACAACTTCGTACGTTTGAATATAGCTACCAGATACCAGGAGAGAAGTACTCGGGCACATCAGCTTTGTGCAGCACAGGGCTACCCATAGCCCAAGGACTTACCGTCGAATATAATCCAAAGACGTTTCTGACACCTCTCGGTCTGAAGCAGAAGCATACTTAGCGGTCACGACTGGTTCCCGGAGAACACGATGATTATGACTCGTTCGTGTGCCATCAGATACGGTTGAGGGCCCTGGATCGGTAGTTGATGAAGAAAATACAGAAGGAGCCGAGGATCTCTTGCGCTTGGATGGGAATGAACATCGAGATCGTCACTACACACCAGTGATCGTGGTCATTGTGACGGGCTGTAAGTTGGAGCGGACTTGGTTAGCAGTGACGAATGCCCACTTGTTTGTACAGAGAAAGCCCAGAACTTGTCAAACCTGGTGTTGAAGTGCTAGGCAAGAGCTAGGAGACCAACAACGATGACATGTGGTTGCCAGCTCTTTTACTGGGTGAAGTGTCAACCGAGCTGTGTGGAATGACTGGTGGTCTGGGCAAGTGAGATTTGAGGGATGAATGTTTCCCTGTACGAAGACGTGCTTGGGCAACTGCAGAAGCAAGATCACACATGTTAGGTTTCAACAGTGGATCGTAGCGGCATATCTACCTCAGTTAGCTTGTCAGAGGATACGGGTTTTAATACTGCAGAACTCCTGCGGAATTGCATGAGGTACCATTTTAGATAGCATATGGGTGGTGGCCGTACTGACACCTCGTGGGAAAATTATCGGGCAAGTGTTTCTGAACGTGTTTCGACGTCCTCGGTCCAAACATGAAGCTTTGAAGTCAGATCCACCCAAAAAAGCCGTGTCAACCCTCTACTAAATTTGCGGTCTTTGATTGTCCACAACAATTGGGAAGTTGCGACTGTACTCTGAACCTCGCTAATATTAGGTTGTTCTTTATTTGTTTTGTTTTAGCTTTGTGTACGGGCGCGAAGTTCGGTCTGCGAGTGCAGGGTTTAGTTATAGTACGCTTTCCTCTGCATATTCGAATCTCTCGCGGAACGCCAACCAGTAGGGCACCCGTCACTATCCCGTGCTGTACACAACGCCTCGCATCCGCGGATACAGTTCTCACAAGGCATGCCATCGACGAGTCCACCATCGACACAGCCCATCGCTCGGCAGGACGAATCCCCCCTCCCTCGCATCGAGCGTGTATCTCGCTCATTTTCGCGCGCCGTCTCTTGATTTTTTACAGGGTGGTTGTATCTCGCGCGTCTCCATGCCGTGCCTCTCACTTTTCCGTTCGTTTATTCCCCTCGCAGAACCCTCTCTGTGGACGTCTCAGGTGTCCAATTCCGTGCAGTGGTTGTCGAGATGTACCTATTTTCGTGGCCGGAAGGGCTACGAGCCACTTTTGCGTATAAGTCGAGGTCGGGTGGGCCGATTGTGGTGATTCCTCTTGCCCCCTACTGGCTCCTGGAGTTTTGCATGATCGCTCCAGCAGTCATCATGTGAGATTCCCCTCTCCCCTCCCTCAAGGTCTTGAGGTCATATTTCGTGCATTTCGCGACCGTTCCTCTCGCTGTTTGGGTTGTCCATCCCTCTCACTGAACCCTTTCTGTGAATCCCTTGTTTTTCCAGTTTTGCGCTGCTGTTGTCGAGATATCCCTGTTTTTGTATTTGGAAAGCCATGTGACACTGTAGCCTGCGACTCAGGATCAGGTCGTCCAACCAACGTAGTTCCTTTTACTATGTGTTCATCTGGGATTCCCCACTGTCTCCTGGAACTTCGTGGTGATTGCCCTAGCCATCGTTGTTCGGCGGGTTCCCTTCTCTCCATCTTTGAAGACTTGAAGTCGTATCTTGGGTGTCTCAACACTGTTCTTCTCATCTTTCTGGCCGTGCATTCCCCTCACTGAGCCCTTCCTAGAGATGTCTTGTTCGTCCAGTTCTGCCCTGCCATTACAGAGATATGTTGGGATTGGGTGCATGGATCCATTCGGTTTCTCCTTTGCTGTGTTCGTTGTGTTCTCCATCTCCATCTCCTCCAGATTGATGTCATTCCAAGCACCTGTTGTTAGTTGGTAGTCTCGTCTTGTACCCCTCCCCATGTGAACATGCATGTGTTGTATTTCCTTGCTGGATCTCTCGCTTTCTTAGTAATCTTGTCCTACTTGTTAAGTGCTTTCAAATGATCTATCACATGTTGCAGTAGCTGCAAAGGTCATGAAGATATTGATATTCTATGTTTTGTTTGTGGATATCTCGGGACTGGAAGCCCATTGACAATAGTGAATGCAGAGAATCTCTTGGCAGGATACATTAAATTGAAACATGAATGAGTTCAATTGGAGGAATTATTAGGGACAAGGCAAGGGTGAGTCATGCAAACAGGATATTTGCTAAGGACATACAGAGAGAACAACCAAAGAAGGCACTGCACCAACTACTACATGCATGTTTTGTTCTCACACTTTGAGCACCACATAAGCCTACCATGCTCCCCACCACACAATTGCCACCCACCCATCACACTATGGATCAAAAACATCATGCATATGGCTCACATCAACTCCATTCTCTTCCAAGTATTGATGAAACTGGGAAGAGTATCAGTTCATACCCAGAGAAGTAGTAAAACTAGATGATAGGGAAAAACATACAGCTTTGTCTTCTGCTTTCATACTGTCATATGTAAGGGGCTTCACCAGGAAAAATGTCACAACTGCATTGAGAATGGCAAGGCCACCACCAATCCAGAACAGACTAATAATACCCTTCATGGTTTTTGAACCACCAAAGGCTGGATGGACATACCCTGGTGCATGAGTGGTTATACATTGTGTCAAGTGCATCAAAACCCACCATCTATGACTTGTGGGAAGACTATAGCCATTGGAGATTAGTCCCAAGAGGTGGATCAACCTAGCCTTCGTAGTACATACCCCACATCCCAATGAAAGCCCCCACTTTTCCAATTGCAGCTGCAATGTTGTAGATTTGTCCATTGACACAGGACATAAGAGCAGTTTTTACTGCCAGAACTTGGAGGCAACTGCCAGGACCTGTTCCATGGCAGCATATAAACAGACCAATCAACCATGCCACTTCACTCTTTAGACTCACCAACTTCACCAAAGCTTAAGAATATCCCATAGACAACCTGTGTAATACCTGAAAGTTACACCCCTGAGTTCAAATTCAATAGGCTTACTGCAAATGTGGAGATATGATTGGTGAGTGGGCTGTACATGGTGCCCACTGTAAATCCAACAATGGCCTGCAGCAGCAATCCAACAATCTGATAAAACAGGACTTAAATGCACATGGACCCAGCAGTGTGCACTGTGCACTACATACCATTGATGTCTTCACACCAAGGTAATCAACCAGGAATGCACCAAGCACAGTTCCTGCAACAGGCTCAGCTCACAGAGAACCAGAAAGACTAGGTAGGCACCTGGGATACACAACAAACTACTGCAGGTCAAAACAATACCCTGCAGGAGTAAACACAGGTGAGCTTACTTGGTGACAACAGACCATCCCAACACAATTGATAAGGATGAGCTGCCTCCTGTGATACTGCATTCCAGTGAGGCCCAACCCCTGTGCATGACATACTGTGCAAGCTTACTTGTTTATAGTCATGGAAGAGTATATGCAGAACTATGGCCAATCAGAGCTGCATTCACACAAGAGAACCATCTTACTGGGTACCTGCAAATCCTGCATCAGTGTCATGCACCTCCCCATGAGCCATTAACATGCACATACATGACAAAATCATAAATGAACCTTTTGTTGCCATACCATTTGGTTATCAGTTTACCACCCAACAGTTAACATGAACACCCACCATGCTAATGACAATCCAAGGACACTCTTCCAGTACCACTTCAAGGTAAGTCACATAGGGATAGGCACGAATTTTGATGGGTTTCTGGTGCCCAGCATATACTGACGCAAGGGAGCCAGATAGTACAGGAGTACCCCACACTCGCACAGGAGAACACATCCAGGGATGATACAGAGAGCAAGCAAAAGACCACAGATTTTATCAAGGTGCTGCTCACCATGGCTAAGTGTGATAAGTGAGATATCATCACAATGCTATAAAAGATAGCCTTACATCCAGTACAGGGCAAGTGGGGCAAAAGCAGCAAGAACAAAACCAGTGTCAATCATGGTTTCTATGGAAGGTTAGCATGGGCACCAATTGGTGGGCCACAGGCATTGCTCACTGGTACCAAGTACCAACCACTGGTATTGTGCATTTTTGGCAATGCCATCTTGCTCCATCTCTGAACGAAAAGCTGACCCAGAAGTGTGGATTATGCCAACAAAGAAACCAAGGATGGCACTTCACAATTATCTATTTGGCAATCACTTTGACAAAGGAAGTCTCACACTCACCGAAGAGCACAAAGTGTGGTGACAGATTCACCAACACTCACACCCTTCTGACCCTCCATGAACACCACAGGACCAGAAATGAAAGAGAAGAAAATGATGGGGAAAGGAGCACCCAGCTGTGTACAACACTCAGACACACAAATGAGGTTACAAAAGCAGCACATCATGCCCATCCTGCTACCATTTGAAAGCAATATGCCGAAAAGCATACCAAATACAATCCCTTCAGGGAGTTAGTCTGTTTGTGATGTGGAATAGGCACACAGAATCCAACTTACCAACAAATGCCATACTTGCCAACAATGTGCTGTGATATTGTGTCCCAAATTGACCTCCAAAATTTTCACGGGTCAGTACTGATGGTAGGGATGATTAGTACCTTGTGGATATCCCAGCCGATACACGTACAAGTGATAACTGCAGCAGCGAAGTCAGGCTTGTGTAGGACATGGGAGTGGAATACATGTACCTGTTCCGATCACTCCAATAAAGTAACCTGCCTAAAGTCAGCACACCTCTGGCAATAAGTAAATACGCGAGCGGTACCGTGCGAAAACAGGACTGTACCACGGCTGATGAGTCAGGTGAGACTTACTGTTAGTTTCGAGCACAGGCAATAAAACGAACCAAAACCTTACGTGAGTCGCAGGAAGAACCGTAGAATTGAGCGTTGCTTATTTGTTAATACAATCATTTTGAAGGAAATTGATGAGCGTGTGACTGAAGCTTGATGGGTTGAAAGCAAGGGGCATAGGCAAGTCAACGCTCCTTATCATATAATAGGAGCCGCGAGAGGTTGGGGTGTGACTCAGCACCGCCTTATGTAATACTCCTATAGATTCGGTAAAGTTGCGGATTTGAGTACGAACATTTGACCAACTTCTGCGAACCATTCACGTCTTACCGTGTGCAGTGTCCACTGACAGCAGTGAGTAGCCTTCCAATTGTGATGCCGCTACAATTCCCGTCTCCGATACTGTAAAGTTACAACAGATCTCAGAATCTACGAAGCATTGGAATGCACTTCCCAGCCAGTAGTCAAGCAGCGGCTTCCAACAATTCGCATTTCTGGTGGAACGATGGCTCGTAGATGAGAAGCTATTATTGCATCCGAAAACTTCACATACACATCAATCAAACAAAGCAGGAGTGTGACATCGATACTTACGTATGTACCTCGTCGACCTTTCAAGACTCAAACACAACAATTTGATGCACATTCGCTACGACCGGCCAAACGCCCTTCGCCCCCGCCTCCTCTTTATCCACCTCCTTCCGCTGCAACATGAATGTATGCACAACCGTGGCCGCCGGCATAGCAACTCGGCACACCATAAACACACCCAGCTGAGGGCCGAGGTAGAGCATGTCGTAGCCCACGTGTCTCCTCTCACCGGCACTAGTACACGCGCTCTTAAGCTCGGAAGGGGGAACGGCGCAATGTAGCGAGGGAAGGGCAACGAGCTCAGTAATAACATCCAGTCGACCGCGTTTAAGTGGGGAGCACCCAGCTGCACACGTTCATACCAATAAACTTGCCACCGTACGGAAAAGGAACGGCACCACTCACATATGTCACCAATGGGCACCTTGGAAGTCGAAGCGATGGTCTGGGCCGAATGAGACGTCTGCTTATGCTTACGGTAACCAAATGTTGCAAGGCGTGAATATGCAGAAGCAAGACTAGCGCGGTCGGTTTCGTACGTTTGAATGTAACTACAAGACACCAAGAGAGAAGTATCCAGGCACATCAGTTTTGTGCGGTACAGCACTACCCGTTGTCCAAGGACTTACCGTCGAATATAATTCAGAGACATTTCTGACACCTCGCGGTCCACAGGAGATGCATAGTCAGCAGGCACGGCGGGTTCCTGTAGAACACGATGATTATGTACGGCTGAGGGCCCTGGATCAGTGGTTGATGAAGAAAACACAGAAGGAGCCGGGGATCTCTTGCGCTTAGACGGGAATGAGCCATCGAGATCATCACTATGCGTGGGTGATCGCGGACGTTGTGGTGGGCCGTGAGTTGGGGTAGACTTGGTCGGCCCATTTGTTTGTGTGGAGAAAATCCGACAGATCGAGGACGGTCTTGGTGGGACGGGAAGCTTTTCTCCAGGAGGACCATTTTTGACATCCGACTTTGTCGAATCAGGCATGGAGGGACCAGGCAAGAGACGAGGGATCGATGACGATGACATACAGTTGCCATCTCTTTTACTGGGTGAAGTGTCAATCGAGTTATGTGGAATTGCTGGCGGTCTGGTCAAGTGAGAACTGAGGGACAGATGTTTCCCTGTGCGAGGTCGTGCTCGGGCATTTGCTTCGTACGTCTGGGTGATCACAGAAGCCAGATCATATGTGTTAGGTTTCAAGGTATCCGTCCAGACAGGAACGGGACTTGACCTGGCCGGTATCAGAAGGAGTACGACAACATACAAAACCTCACTTACCAGTCGATAACTAGGCCATCATCTCTATCCAGGTTAGCCGATTGTATGACGACCTAGGTCCTTGCATTTACTCACCTAATCATGGTTCTTTCAACCCTGAGGTCCAAAACCTCAAGTTCCTTAATACAACTAGCAGCCCATTGTTTTCTGTTGAGTTTATACCGCGGGCATGAAAGCTGGCAATTCTTGGGGAGTGGAAAGAATCGTTTGACACCGGAAGTAACGAGCCGTCTGCCGATAGGAAGAGATGGACTGGATGGTTCTGACTTCATGGCTGTTGGGGGTACTAAGTACGTGTCGTCGTCGTCGCGTTGTTTCAATCGCTTTGAAGGTCTTGGTGTCTGGATCACTGACATGAAAGGTATAGTCTCAGAACGTTAGAGGGTTCATGAAATTCATCCGGGGGGCAAGAAGTAGGGGGGCGGTTCGGGTGGACAAGTCCAATTACATAAGATATGTACTCCACTCTAAATACTTCCCGATACGCCATCTATCTTGATCTATCTACTTACCCTTAAAGATGCGCCAACTCTATGCAGGCTACTCTGTTGGAGTCATCGCAGAGCACATAGAGGTATCCACAAGCATTATTCAATCCCTACCATCTGTATTGACTTGTGAATATCTCACAAGTCACTTCGGAACGACGATTACATCGCGACTTGGGGCTGGTCTTGCTCGTCTTTTTCAACGAGTCCATGTCAGCACAACACTTCTTCCGGTTCATAAATTAGGCGGGTAGAACTCACTGGCGCATGGCCGCCATCGGACGCTGCGCTGGACGAACACAAAGCCGCAATGACTTCTATGCGTATTACCAGCACGAAGGGAGCTAGGCGTTACGAGTGGAGACGATCGCAAAATAGGATACTATCCTGGCTGCTGTGAGTAGGCATCTAGTGGTTCTCTTCCTTTTTTTGTGGTTGTGTTGGTGTTAGGCAGATTTGGCTCCACCGACTGAAGACTACACCTGCCATTAAGCTAGCTTCGTCGGATCTCGCGCACGGACATCACAACGAATAGCAGATGCCATAGCACTCGGACGAAATAACTCATGGACAACCTCTTGTATAACGACTTTCGATCTAGATTGGCTTGAAGTCCGTGCGAGATTTCTGCTCTTCGCCAAGTTCGATGGATGCTATCGATGATGACGCTCTGACACACTCATGCTCACAATCTGCAGTGTGAAATGCCTGTGTCACAGCGTTGTCATCGTTGTCACCCATAGCTGCTAGAAGGTGTATTTGGTGGCGTTCCAGATGGCCAGTCAGAGGCCCCCTCGATACTGAGATAGCTCGCAAACAGGTCGACACATACTCGCAAAGATTTTGAGAACGTTTACTTCCCCTCGGCTTAACTCTTCCTGGTACACTTTCTCGTCTTTGGCAATCGTGTTTTCTGAGCTAGGCGAAGATGCAGTCAGTCAAAGGTCGGAGAGGGCTAGTGACTCTTGAGCTGGTTCGCTAGGTAAGTTGTATATGGTTTTACACGACCTTGTGACAACAGAAGCTGTACATAACTGCCTAGTCTCCTCAAGGCAAAGCAGGGACTTTAGTCGTTCCCTTTCGACTGTGGATGTTTACTAGAGAGCTAAACTGGCACCGAGCAGAGTCAATGGAAAATCGACTATCCAGCTGGCAGTACATGCCGCTATAGCAGCCGAAAGCGCGAAATCACCTATGAGTAAGTCCGAGACTCGGGCCTCACATGACTTCCCTTAGCTGGTTTCCGGATGGTGCTGCTGAACTTCTCATCGTTGTCCGCATCTGATGTTGCTGACACCAACACGAATGTCCAGAAGGCTCACATCAAATCCATTTTCTTCCAAGTACTGGAATGGCATTAGTTCATGCCCAGAGAGTAAAGAAAAGCGAGAAGAACCGTCGTGAGTAAGGGGCACCACCCAGAATGGCCAGTCGTACTTTTGTGGTCTTCGGGCTAGTCGTTATGCCTTTAATTTGTATCACGTAGGCCATCGACACACAGTCAACGATATGTGGGATGACTAACATTAGTATATTTCATCGATTTAGGCTCCCAATGCACCTTGCTAGAGGCTCTGAGGCAGTCCGACACGTTTCCATTCTACTATTTCCGGTGACTAAATACATTGTATACAAGATCACAAAATAGGGTCAACTCACTTAAAATTTTCGCAATTAGACTCTTTGGCATCCACGGGTAATCTGATTGGCCGATCACTATTGTCGTATGAACAGGGGCGCTGGAACACTTAGTAAGCTACGTATGGAGTCCGGTCCTCCGGACCATGCAGTTGACCAAACACACGTGCGACCCTTTCACTCTGATTGTCTAAATATGTAGGTCCACGTCCTCCAATCCGAGTTTGATATTCTCGGTACACCAGCTGCGTTCCCAAGTAAACGCCACTGGTGGATGCATGATCCAGCCGACTCAGAATGATAACCTACATGAGGCGCAGCCTTGGCCCCTAGATGCCGGGAGGCGAGCAAGAGGAGAACAAAACGTTGTAGCTTCACCCAATCGAGTACTCCGCAACCCCCGAACACCCCGGTAGAACTCCTCACGCTATTTAGTGTTCCTGACCACATGCTTAACGGTTATAAGGAGCGTTAGTTAGTTCAGGTCCCTTGCTTCCGACCGTCGTCGATTTCCTACGAAAAGATAGTCACAATGGGGCGCCTCTCAGCGGTGTCTCTCATTTTCGCGTACGAGTTTGCTTTCTGCCGCCGATGCTTCGAACTAACAGTACTTCTTAGCTGTGGTACGGCGCTATTTTCGGATGGTATTGTTCGTCCATATGCTTATCGAAGATGCGCTGACTTCAGGCAGGCTACGCTAATGGAATCATCGGAGCAGGTATGTGTACCCCACCTTTATAACCTACTCAATTCTCACCTCGCTATTGCAGTTAACACTAGTACGTATAATGTACCCCTCGACTGCGGTATTCGCAGGCGCTGATCAGTTCCTACCATCAGTACTGACTCGTTTATATCCCGGAAGTAAGTTCGGGACGCAGTCTTATAGCGACATCTTGACGAGTATCGCATTCGCTGGTAAGCTAAACTCACTCTGCGCGTTCAACGCTCGCGTCACAAGCGGACTAACCCCCCAAAGGGACTGTATGTGGTATGCTTCTCTTTGGTTGGATTTCAGATAAAGTTGGACGCAAGGCGGGCATGGTGCGCCGTTTCGCGTAACTGTTCGTCTGCGTGTCCGAGTTAAGCGTCAACAGATGTCCGCCGCTCTTATCGTTGCGCTCTTTTCCGCATTGTCCGCTGGATCAGTGGGCATGAAAGATAATGTCAGTGGGACGATTGCCTTTCTTTGTGTTTGCCGGTGAGCTTCAGACACCTTTCGTTAAAGAGATCACCAACTGTGTCACCGTATAGTTTCATACTCGGCATCGGTGTTGGTGCGGAATACCCTTGTGGTTCGGTTTCTGCTTCAGAGCAGACGGAGCAAGAAGGCATCGCCAAAAATGCACAACACCGGTGGTTGGTACTTGCTACCAGTGAGTAACGTAGGTGGTCCATCGATTATTGCTAACCCTCCATAGATACCATGATCGATGTGGGTTTTGTGATTGCTGCTTTTGTTCCACTTGTGCTGTACTGGATGTTAGTTTTTCGTGGTATTATTGTGGTCTCTATCTTATGAGACTTAGCTTTGGTGACAATCACCTTCGTGCGGTCTGGGGTCTCTCGCTTGGTCTCGGCGCCATTCCTGCATTTGCTGTCTTGCTCTGGCGTTTGCGCATGGAAGAACCCGAATGTTATAAGAAGAACTCAATGAAAGCTGTGCGAATCCCCTACGGACTCGCCTTAGCGCGGTACTGGAAGAGTTTGCTCGGATTGTCGTTGGCGTGGTGCGTGGTCATGTTGACTTCCGAGTGGTGAATTGATATTGATATGGTGGGGCAACACAAGGTTCATTTACGATTTCATAACGTATGTGCACGTTAATTGGCGGCTCACCGGGGGCACGACGCTGATGCAGGTTTCGTAGGTATCCCGTGAGCTGACACTCTTTCCGTGAATGTCGGACGCTTCTCTCATCGGTCATAGTTTGGCATTTATTCTTCTACAATTACAAACAAGTAAGTGTATATACTTTGTTACTAACAGGGTTAGGCCTCATGGGAACTGTAGTGTCACAGGAGGCAGTTCGTCGTTAACGGTTGTGTTTGGGTGGGCCGTTGTCATCAAGTAAGCCTGTCCATTTTTATTACTGCAGGGTATCATTTTGACTTGCGGTAGTTTATTTGATATTCCAGGTCCATTATCTACCATATATGGTTTCCGCTGGTGAGCTGAATCCTTCACAGGAACAGTGCTGGGCGCGTTCTTCATTGATTACATTGGTCCGAAGAACACCATGGCATGTATTACACACCGCCAGGTCTGCGCTCATCCTGATCTTGTTTCGTCAGATTTTTGGCTTGCTCTCACAGGCTGTTATTGGCTTCATCATGAGCGGCCTGTATAGCCCGCTCACTAATCATATCGCCGCATTTGCCGTAAGCTCATTGAGCCTGAACTCACCCGCAGCACCTTCTCATGCGCTGCCCAGGTCGTCTACGGGATTTTCTTAAGCCTTGGTGAACTCGGTGAGTCCAAAGATATATATGACACCTGTCCGTTTACACGCTGTGGATCAGGACCCGGCAATTGTCTCGGTGTCCTTGCGGCAAAGACCGCTCCCACGGCTGTCCGCGGACAATTCTACGGCATCGCAGCCGCAATTGGAAAAGTTGGAGCGTTCGTTGGAACATGGGGTATGTACCACGCAAAGCTCGCTTCGGAATGCCTCTCGAGACTGATCTCCAATGGCCATAGTTTTCCCACAAATTATCAATGGTGCGTGTCGATGAACTCAATGTTGCCAAGCCGTAATCACTCACGCTGTGGTGTTTGCTGGTGTGTCTGTTCAGCCTTCGGCGGTTCAAAGACTGAGAAGGGCAACACTGGCCCATTCTGGATCGGTAGTGGCCTTGCTGTTGTCAGTGCACTCGTGACGTTTCTCCTGGTGAAGCCTCTCACGCATGACGGTATGAAAGCCGAAGACGAAGCTGTACGTTCTCTCCATCGTCTACTTCTCTTCTACTTCTCTGGGCATGGACTGAAACCCTTCTAAGTTCCGTCAATACCTGGAAGAGCACGGATTTGACGTGAGCGTTATGGGCATCCCCGGCAACGTGTCGTCAGCGGCATCAGACATGGAGAAAGATGACAAGTTGGCGGCGTAAGACAGCTGACAGAAGTTGTGTGACGACTGAGCCTTGCATGATGATTGCGTTATAATGGCCGTGACGAACAGAATGTGTATATATGATGTACATGTCAACGATTGTTCTTTAACTTCTGCACTCCGAAGGTTCAACCACGGAAAAGGTACGTCGTGGGAAAGAAATACACCGCTGCTCCCTTGTTCGCCCTCTACGAGTTTGGAGTTCATTGAGACGCAGACCTTACTCATTGTGATAATGGACGATTCGCAGCTGAAGTGCGACCGAGACTCGAGGCGTAATGTGGCGTCATCAGCTTTCTGGAAAGCAAAGCAGTTTTCCGTGTAAGATGGACTGGTATTTCTCGAAGTTATCACTAGCGGAGGTACGCCATCCTGGCCCATCAGTGAACAAAGCACGGCATTACGATGCGTGAATATGTACATGACCGTCACAAGGCTGTCAGTCGACGGCTACGCAAGGCGAAGCCCACACAACGGACTGCGATTCGTCTACGAAGTAGTAGATGAGACAGAACAGTGCAGACCTCGCCTCTGTTTGTAGGTTGTCAGGTACGCCCATCTATCGCTTCTAAAAGTCGACTTCCTGAGCCGTCAACAGCTTCGCAGGGGTCAGTCTCACCTTACCCCAGCTTATTGTTACTTGGTCATGCCGGAAGGGGTTTTCATGCGATGGAGGGCTCAAAGCGCGTTGCACCCGCCGTGAGCTGGTGACAAATGGAGGTCTAGATAAATAACTCCATTTTCCGTCCTTCCATGATGAGCTCTCCGCCTGCCCATGAAGATAGCAGGGCCATCCCAGGCCGGTCATGGGAATCCGGGGGTATCGAACAAGCCACAGATCGCATACGAGGACGAGCTCCCCGACAGCTTGACCGTGCCGGATGAAAGGATCCAGACATATCGAGAGTACTACGATCGGGGAGCTTGTGATGGTGAATCTACGACCGACCATGATATCGCATTTTTGGGGGATGCGAAGGACTTGGAGGGTATCGAGGAGGATGGGATGCTCGCTCTTTCGTTGAATTAAGACCCTCCCCCAGAAAACGAGGTGAGCTGTGGCGGAGAAGACCAGCCCCCTTCCGCCAAAGCTTCCTCCACGGTGCGCGTAAAGTGAGTTTGGAGGGTGTCAGATCTCAATTGCGGATGCCTTTTCTCAAATCCAGGCCCCGGGGAGCACCCACCGATACCCGCAAACCGGGCATCTGGGAATCACGTAGATGGAGCAGGCGCTTCGTTTCCCTGTTAAAGAGACTGGCTCGCGCGCCTCTAATACCCACAACGACACCCACTGCACCTGTATCCGGCGGGCGCGACCGCTACCCGCAACACCTGCGTAGCCCGCTATGCTTACTGATGTAGCTCCTTCTGTTTTTCTAACAGTGAAAGCTGTTACGCAAGGTCGACGACTGGTCGCGTCTGCGTGATCTGCGAGGACCGAATTCGTGAATCTAGAATCCGAGCACCCTGCGGCCATTTCTACAATGTCACCTGCATCACTGACATCTTCCAAACTGCCGGGCGTGAAAGTCTTTCCCCCCTCGCTGCCGACGACGAAACATACACCCCCATAGTGTCCAGGCTTACCTCTCCCGTGCTCTCTTGACGGAATTCCAAGGTAAGAGTGAAGAATTCGCAACGCCCAATCGGGTCTACTGTGCTCGACAAATGTGTAGTCGCTTCCTTGGTTCCCTCACCCAAATCACGTCTGGAACAAAAGTCTACTGCTGTCCTGCCCCTGAATGTGGAACCCAAACGTGCGCGGCGTGTCGAGGACTATATAACGGGCGGACATACATGCCGACGGGATCGAAGGGCCGAACAGGTGCTCGATATCGGACATGCGAAAGGCTGGGTGTGGTGTCCGTGCGGGAAAGAGTTTTGTTGTTTGTGTACGGTGAAGTGGAAAACGAGTAGTTGCCTTCAGTGGGATGAGCAACGGTTGTTACCCACCATGGAGTAGAAAGTCGATGTGTATCTTGGTGGAAGCGAGCGCCGTCATCATGGACAGTAATGTTCATCGGCCCGGTTCCGTTCAGCTAGCACCTCAAATTGTTTCGGTTAGACGCCCTCCCTCACTCTTCTTACGTTTCTTCCTTGATTTTCGGGAATGCAGCGGTACCATGGGTGTGGTATGTTGGCGTGTGAGGGCGTTGCGGGAATAGGCTCTAGGGGAATGGACAAACTGTTGATTGCGTTCGGAGGATGGGTAGTTGGGGGTTCCGGTTCAACGGGGTCTTTTGGAGCTAATAAAAGGTGATGGGGCCGACAGACTTGTTGCACCGGATTCTCGTTTTCGAGCAATCAGTACTCTTCTTTGTTTATTCGCTGTATGATGCTGACAGTTGTACTGAGCCATTCCGGTAAGGTTGCAGGTAAACTGAAGAACGGCGCTGGTGTGACGACCCATGCACTGAGGGAAGCGGTATTTATAATGTCCTCGCATTGTCCTCCGGGCAGGTTCAGAGAACTAGTCCTTGATGCTGCAGGCAGCTTCGAAATACGCAAGCCAACAAAGATTTTGCATGCACGTGGAACAAACCTTTCAACATTACAAAATTATGTCACCCCCGATTGTGCAGCGGCCTGCTTAGAAAGCAAGTCAAGAGCTCCTTTCACCGCGCTTATGACTTCGGGGTTGCCTACTCGTTGGAGATCAAAACTCTTCTTGCAAGCATATCGTGGTCTTGATCATTTCTTGTTTTCATGCGTCTTGGAGACTTCTCTGCGCACGTTGTGGTCGAAGGGAAGGAACCGAATGAACACGAACTCACGGTGAACAGCAGTGGAACACAAGCGACGTGCTGGATTGGCTCAGAGGCCGGCAAGGTATGCACACGCCAGCTTTGTCTAAGGAGTGTTCAATATACCTTTCACTGGTAATAGAAATTTTCAGTAAACTGGAAGCGTCATTCCTTGGAAGGTCCGGCCAGCGAAGCGCGTTTAGCTGTGGATGGCATAGGTTGTGTCCGTATGGGCTTCCGTGAAACGAGTCGCGCGCACGCTGGGAGTTGCTCAAAAATGGTACGCGGAACGGAGGCCAGAGATCTAATGTTTTGTGACCTTCAGCTAAGTGGTACACACGTTTATCTGTTGTCGAGACTTCAAATGTCTAATGAGTGGCTAAGATGACGAGGCCTTATTGGGGAAGTCTGTTCCAAGCCACCTAGGGGAAATTACATTGTGCGTTGTTCGCGGAAGCATTCGTTACACACGTAGAAAGGCAAGGGCACCAGGGACACCTTCACGTTTGACGTGTCACGCGAACATTTATCACGAGAAGTCCGTGAAAAAGCTGACGACCCATTGTGTTGGGTAAGACAGACTACTTGTGGCTTTCCATACTGCATTTGTAATTATGGCTACCAGGTTTGGACCAGAACGGGAACACCGCTCTGGCCGGACTTCGGAGTTCAAGCGGAACCAGGATCCACCGCTCGAATTTATCTTCAAATGCAGGCCAATTGGTGTGCATTCAATCATTCCCACTGGATATCGTGTATTCAATTTACTTGCAGGGATTCTGCAGGCAAACCAGTTCCTACTGCCCTTTCTGATAACCCTTCTGGTGCACAACAAACTCCAAGTGCGGTGTCGGAACGGATAGCACTCCTCGAGGTTAGTGTGGTTCGACCCTTGCAATGAGTTGGGAGTGATGATGGCCGTCTAGAACGAGCTGAAACGCCTACGTAGTCAAGTACATGATGAAATGGAGGACCAGAAGCCCAAACGTATCAAGAGAGAGCATATGGAAAAGCATCCCTTCGTTCACGGAGAAGTCATCGACCTCGCTTAGCCTGGGCCAGTGATAACTAATATCAGTCGCATCGGAAGGGTATGTACGTTCAGGTGTCGCTCTTGTGTACTTAAAACTCATATTATTAGCCCGAGATGGTTGTATATCAACGTAGATGCGATAATTCCTTTGGTTTCATTCCCGGTGCGAATTTTTGTCTGCGAGATGGGGAACTAAGCTGGGGCAGGAGTCGACGGACTTCACCAGGCCGGTTCAGCGTGGAGTATGTGGGCTACTAATCAATACCTACATCATGTATTTATTATAATGTGAGTCACCAGCCAGACCGTTAGCATGCATGACATCGTCTCTACTAGTGACATAGTAAAGGACTGGTCGATGGGGAGTCCTCCCTGTGTCGTAAGCGCTGTGTGTGCCAAGGAGGAGAGTAACTTGCCCTACGGCGGGAATTGTGGGAGTGCATAGACAGTGGAATCAACTAGTCGGCTGCTAGTATGTATTTCATTTCATTTAAAGACCTGTCACGTGACAAAGCGCGACGTTACGCATACCAGGCCAGTGTTCTGCCAGTCAGTGAACACAGGTCAGAAAGTTTGCCGGTGAAGACAGTGGGTGCGATGTATTGCGCAGAGGAACGGGAAGCAATGAAGAGCGAGGCACGAACACTTGCCTTTATTTCAGAAAGGTAGTAGCTTTTGATAAAAACTTGAGGGGCTCGGTTGTTGGTTTAGCAACAGAAGAACGAATGAATTATTCGATGGGGATTGAGGAAGAAATCCCTGAGTTTATATACATGAGTAGGTATGCACGGACCAAGAGCGTAACAGGAAACTACTACTCAGTATAGTAAAGAATAGTGCAGAAGGTCATGGAATATGATGTATAATATGATGTCACTATGACATCATTTGTGGAGCTGATTGCTAAGGAATGTCATGTGATGAACAACGTGTTGATGCACGTGTAAATCTGGAACAATCTAGACGTCGGAACATATAGTTATATTTCCAACACTCCCCCTCGCTCTAAAATGGTAGGGTAACAAGACCCATTGACGAGCGATTAGTTTCAAATTTTTGCCACATCAAAGATTTTGTAAGACCGTCTGCTTTTTGTTTATCAGTTTGAACGTATTCAATACTGAACAAACCGTCTTGAACGCATTCGCAAACAAAATGCCATTGGACGTCGATATGTTTAGAACGACCATCCGATACAGGATTCTCAGCAATAAAGCGAGCTCCCATATTATCGCAGTAGAGAATTGTCTTCTCGGTCTTGAGTTTAAATTCATCAAATAGCATTGACAGCCATTTGATTTGACGTGCAGCATCACAGAGAGCCATGTATTCGGCTTCTGTAGAGGAGAGCGCGATAGTCTTCTGTTTTCGAGATCGCCAAGAGATAAGGGATGATCCAAGGAATATGGCATAACCGGTAGTGGAATGACGAGTATCTTTATTTGCAGCCCAGTCAGAATCTGCAAAGCCATAGATTCGAGATTCAAGTCCCGAATAGTATAAAGCCAATTTTGGAGTAGATGCAATATAGCGAACTATATGCAAGGCTTTATTTCGGTGATCTTCGGTAGGGTTTGCCATATATTGAGACATGCGAATAACCGCAAAGGCAATATCGGGACGAGTACTGAGAGCCATATAAAGTAATGACCCTATGATTGACTGGTACTGAGACCGAAGAGAAGATGTGGCTTGATAATCTGTGGGTGCTTTTTCCGGTTGGTATCCCGAAGGTAGTGGAGTGCGAACATTTCGAGCATTCTCCATGTTCAACCTTTTGATAACCTTTTTGACATAAGGTATTTGATCGAGATAAAGTTCCTTTTTGGATCGATCACGGTGAATTTGAATGCCAAGATATTCCTTGACTTCACCAAGATCACGTGATTCCCATTTCTTCATAAATTGTTCTTTCTTGGCTTTAAGAAGATGTTTGTCCGATCCTAGAAAGAGTCCATCGTCGACATATACGAGGAAGATGACGATTCCAGCTTTAGAGGTGTGGATATAAATTCCAGCATCCACTTTAGAACAAATGTAGCCCATTGCGAGTAAGGATTGATGTAGGGCTTTATTCCATGCTAGTGCAGCTTGCTTTAAGCCATATAAGGCTCTAAGCAACCGATAAACCTTGTGTTCCTGACCCGAAACTTTGAATCCTTCTGGTTGCTCCATATAAATTTCTTCATCAAGGTTTCCGTATAGGAAAGCAGTTTTGACATCCAGGGCTTCTGTTTCCCAATTCCTTTGGGCAGCAAACGCGAGTAGAATGCGAACAGTTTCGAAGCGAGCCACTGGAGAGAAGGTATCTTCAAAGTTGGTACCGAATTCTTGTGTAAAGCCTTTAGCCACAAGATGAGCTTTGTAACGACCATCGCCTTTTATTGCGAAAACCCATCGACACTTGACTGGTTTCCGATCTCTGGGAGGATCCACCAAAGTCCATACTTGTCTTTCCTCGATAGACTTTAATTCATCTTTCATTGTGTCAAACCATTTCTTTTGTAAATCGGGAGATAATTTTAGCACATCTTTGAAATGTTCCGGAGATTCTTTTATCCTGGCAGCCAATGCAAATTCGAAAGGATGCATTTCTGGACCTGGCATTTCAGCATGCTGGTCTGGCATGCCTTTAGGAGAAGAAGGAGTTTCCGGTAATGGAGTAAGAGGTGATCCAGGAGGAGAAGGAGGTGTAGTTCCTTGTGGATGTTCAGTCCACTGACGAGGAACTTGAGGAGGAATAAGAGCAGGAGGTAGCCTCGGAGAAGGAGGTCTTATTTCCTCTGCATGTCTCCTAATATACTCTCTGGAGTCACGAACATGTTGCTCAGCATTTCGAATCCATTGTTGTGCTTGATCCCGATTTCTTTGAATATCTCTTTCGATGTCAACTGGGGGTCTGTCTCCATAGAGATTCCCAGGATGAGATACTGGTATAAAACGACGCTTTGGACGAGGTTCTCTGTCATCGGCAGGAGGTTGAGCTCTTCGAACATTACGAGAGTCTCCTTGAACAAATTCTGGTTGATGAGGGTGCCTAAGATGACGAGGGTCGACTGGTGGTACAGCAGCAGGTGCTCTTCTTTGTTGACCTCTATTATTGGTTTGGTCCGGAGGTCTCTGCTGTGGGTTTGGTTGTACAGGATTATTAGGACGAGGTGGTTGCCGGTGATGAGTCGGCGGTTGGATCTGATCAGGATCCGGAAGTGAATGTAGGCTTTCAGAGTCGGAAGTATCTGATTCCTGGTCGTCTTCGGTATCGGGGTCAAAGGTTTCGGATTTTTGTTGACCAGAGCAAAAAGGAAAAGAGTCTTCTACAAATTTTGCAGTACGAGAAATAATGATTTTTTGTCCATGAAGAAATCGATATCCTTTGGTATTGGGTTCATAGCCCATAAAAATCATTTCGACTGCATGAGGTTCCAGTTTGTCTTTTCTTTGTTCTTTTGGAACCCATACAAAGGCTTTGCAGCCAAAGGTGCAGAAATATGTGATGTCCAGGACTTTTCCTAAGAATAGTTCAACCGGAGTCTTGAATATAATCCTCTTGAGAGGAGTTCGATTATACACATGAAGTGCACAATCAAAGGCGAAATTCCAGAAGCGTTTTGGAACGCAAGCATGATGTCAAATGGTCCCAGCTTTTTCGGAGATAGTCCGATTAAAGCGTTCTGCACGACCATTTTGTTGTGGTTGGTCGGCAATGGAAAGATAATGGGTAATTCCGCGCGAAGAAAGGAGCGCTTTGAAAGTATGACCCATAAATTCTCCCCCTCGATCCGAACGGAGCACAAGAAGATGATGCCCAGTAGTATTTTGCATAGACACCATCCAGTTGGCGAAAGCTGTATAAGTATCGGATTTGTTGCGAAGGTAGAGACAAAAACCGTAGGACGAATAATCATCCAAGAGGGTTAGGATGTATTGGGACCGAAAATAGGATTCGACAGGTAACTCCAGTAAGTCGGCATGGACCAACTCAAGGGGTTTAGTTGCTCATTTCCAGGAAGGTTTAAAAGCTTCGGAAGACATTTTTCCTTGAGCGCAACCTTTACAAGAGGAAGTCTCCCCCTGTATTTGTAAATCTTCTTGAAGGCCTAATCGGCGAATATGTCTGAGCACTGCATTGGCAGGGTGACACATGCGATTATGCCAGAGAGACTCTTGAGTTTCCTTGATCAGAGGGCAAAGGACCCCATAGGCAGTGGTAGGTGGAAGCGGTATGCCCACAAACCAATGAAGAGGTGAAGTCGGAGAAGCTATTTTCGCTTCTAGGACAATCCGGCCATCTGGTGCTCTGATAGTTTCGCTTGTGAGAGTCGCTGTGCTCCTATACCCGTTATCGAGGAGCGCATTTCGTGAACATAGTCTCTTTGAAAACAAAGGACTGTAGACAACATTATGTAGTGGAAGGTTACTGCCATTTTCCAGGCAAATAACCACTGTTCCTTGACCGAGAAGTTGAACCTTTTTAAGGCCAGCAGTAGAGGCCAAGGGTGGATTTTTGAACCCTCGATAGGTCAAGAAATCAGTTTTAAATGGAGTCACATGATGTGATGCTCCAGAATCCAACATCCATAAAGACTCACCCTTTGGAAGGTTCTTTTTTAGATTCGAATATGACACACCGAAGGTGTAACAGTCATAAGAATCGAAAGCATGGCCATCGAATTGCATGGGTAAATACCCAGAGGCAGATTCGTTGGGATCATACTCGATGTCTGGATTATGCTTTATACGTAAGGATTTAACAACAGGATTTTCTGGCACAGATTCGTGAAATTGAGATAGGGACATAGGCTTAGCTCGCTTTTTAGCGGCTTTTAATAATATGGATTTGTGGAGAGATCCTCCATCTCTACGATTCTGTCCTCGAAATCGAGGGGAAGAGAGATTAATAATCCGTTGTTGCGTCTCAGACGCATTGCCATTGTCCTCTCCATTCCGGTTCTCCACCATATCCTCGCCAGCCAAAACGGAATTTCCCATTCGTACTGAGGGTTCGAGGGAACCACTCGTACATGACCCGTCCTGCTCAGCAGGGGGAAGGGAAATCGTCCTCTGATAAGAGTCCGAGTTGATCCGTTGTTGGGATTCCGAAAGGGATGGACCCAGTCGGACGCAAGATTTGGCTACTTGGCGACAAATGGAACATTGGCAGATATTAGAGCCGGGAATGTTGACACGAATCGGTACTGACTCAACTTGATCCGGTTGGAAATTTTGAATTTCCTCCAGATACCAAGGAGCAAGATTTCCGGTTGTAGCATCAACTGGATAATGGGGGGATTCCCCAATAGCTTCCATCGCCATATTTAAATCTTGGCGAGATGCATCAGGATGGTTCATCTCGGTGTCAGTGATGACATGAGATCCGAGATATGTACTAGGGTCGGAGGAATAAACTCGTCCAACCGGAGTGGTGTCCGGGAGAGAATATTCGGGAGTGTGTGATTCACGTGGAATATCGATTGCAGTGATATCAAAGTCACCTGCATCGAACGCAGCAGCAGCATTTTCATAGAACTCTTGACCTTGAGCAGTATATTCAGGTTCATAAGAGTTTTCATAGTAGGAATGCTCAGGGAGTTCCTCTATGTACGCCGCATCGATAGGTTCACCACCTTCGACTTCTAGGTTATTGGCTCGGGCTTTGCCCTTGCCTCGGCGACGGTTTTGGCCTCGGCCACGAGTACCAGAACCTTGCTGTGGTGCTTGTTGATAGGGAGTATAACCTCCACGTCCACGTCCACGACCTCCGCGACCTCTTCCGCGATTTCCACGTTGACCACGAAAGGATCCTGATCCTGATCCAGATTGATGATCGGAAGTATTGTGACCACCTCTGCAAATTTGACAGAGCGGTGGTTTATTCATGCGTGCCAGCAAGGAATTAGATTCCTGTTTGACTGTGGTCGATGATGACCCAGCCTTTTCCTGTTGAGGAAGCATAGATTTGCCCGATTTGTGGGCCCAGACCTCTTTCATTCGAGGTATGACGGTATCAGGGGAGAGTTGATCGGCGGCAATAGAAGATAGGATATTGACTGGAGCCTGTTCCCAGGCCTGAGTCATTGAATGGACAAGAATTAGCGCTTTCATTTTATCATTAAGGGCAATGCCCTGAGCGCTGATTGCGGAGATAAGCATAGTAATTTCCGCAATTTTCTGCATGATATCATCCTTCAGCTTGATTTGGATACGAATGAGCCGTTGGAACTCCATGAATGTCGTCATGGCGGAAGGGGCTCCGTATGCAGATTTGAGAGCTTCCCACTTGATATGAGAAGTGGCGTGTCCATCAATAGACATTGCGATCATCGGATCACAATATAAGGTCAAAATACCCTGAGCGTGGGTATCAGAAGTGTGCCAAGCAGGGAGATTAGGGTCTCCGGCTGCTGGTTGCGCGATTGTGCCGTCAACAACGCCCATAATACCGAGAGTTTGCATGTATGCTTTCATAAGAACCGACCAAGAGGCCCAGTTAAGACCGTTGAGTTTGGGGATTTGCTTTGAGAGACCTTCGGACATCTAGTGTCACAGGTCCATAAGCAAATGTTCGTATAAAAACGAATGAACGGGATGAGTCGAAAAGGATGGAGGATTTAAATCATGACCGCGAATTTTGGTTCGGCCAGCAGATGCTCTAGCCTTTTGAGACTTGCAGCGAATACGTGTACAATTGTTTTTGTAGTAAGGACGAGGATTTTGTCTTTTCTCCTTTTTATTTTTCGGTGCCTGTGTGCCTTTCTCAGCGAATCTCCATGAAGAGATGCGAGAATTATTTCGCTCTAGACTTAAAAAGTCTAATGGAGCAAAATAATGATATGCCATGAAACCCCAATTACAGTCGTGTAAAGGGATTCCATCGGCAGTGAATCCTAAATAAGGATCTGCACACGAATATGGGATAGCAAGGCAATCCGAATGACGAAAATGTTTGTCCTTAACTAAAATCTCAAAAACATTGTAGGACTCGTATAAAGTACACATATTAGTTGCCGAGTGGTTTCGGCCACCTGATGCATACGGTACGTCCAGCGAATTTGGGAGAGGATAATTTTTGACGAATGGCTCGAGCTTCATGAGCTCGGCTAAGAGCCGTGGTCCGAATTCCGCGAGGTCGGGGAGCTGCGAGATAGTCAAATGTAGAGTCATCCATGACATGTTCGAGATCGCGTAAAATCTCTTCTGTTCCGGGCCAGTAAGCGAAGTCTGCGTTAGCAGGGGCGAGACCCCACTGAAGATGCCGGTTAGAAGAGTTATATCGCAGGGAAGTTCCCACATCTGCTTCGTCCCTATACCGTCGTATAAACCTAAAGAGACTGCTATCAAAGCGGTCTCCTCCGCAGCGCCGTTCCCGGTACCATTTTGGGACACATCGGACGTCCATCGATCCGTCATCCCAAACTCCTCGGAAATGGAATTCAAGATGGTGGTTCCAAATGCGGAGAGAAGGGATGAGGCCGTTAAAGCACGGGTCGTAGAGGGGATGGACGTTATAGTAGATGTAGACGAATGTGTCGTGGGTGATGGTAAAGGCGGGAATAGAGTCGAGGGCAGGATCTTCATAATACGCACTGGGAAGATCGCAACCATTAAAGTTAGCTATGGCATGTGGAGACGAGGTATGGGAGAGCTTGGGAAAGAAGTCGGTAAGGTAGCTGTGAAAGGCTAGATGGATCCCTGGATAGAAGTATGGCAATTCGAAACCAGGAAAGTGGGGCATAGACTGCCACGCTGTTTCCACGGTATCGATTGGGACGAGGTAGGTTGCAGGATTGGGTTTCTTGAAAAATGCGACACTCGACGGAACGGCCTCTCTCCAGCTGGCGCAATCCCTAATGTACAACATCTCAATGTATTCTATGATCTCCTTAACCGCATACTTCCTCCACTTTACATCGTGCATTCCATCTCTCTGCTCAGCGATAGCGAGTTCGAGCTTCTTTGCGATGACGAGAGACATCTTTTGTAATCTTTAATTAGTTCCAGTTCTGCGACAAAGCAAACGAGACTAAAGCAAATCGAACTCAGCGTTGTCATCGACAGCGAGAACGATCGCAGGATTAAGTAGCTCGTTGACAGCCGCAACTTCCTCAGGAAGAGGAGTAGGAGCACGTCGAGGAGAAGGCGGGTCAAACGCTTCAACCTCGTGGTACGGCGGAACGGGATCTAAGTCTGCGTCGTGGTCGATGTCGGGAAGATGGAAATGTAAATAGTGGGGAGGAGGAGTTGGAGGACGAAAGAGAAGGTGCTGTAAAAGCAACCTGCGAACAACTTGCTGTTCAAGCAAACGTTGTCGCCTTCGCCACCAAGCGGAGAGACCTAGAAAAGAGAACCAAAACGCAATAGAGCATATGGCTAGTTCTCGGAGAAAACGCGGGTCATGTCCACCATAATGAAGTAATAAAACAGCCTGATTAAGGCCTGCCATGATAGCGACAGCGAAAACTACTACTACCGATCCTAGCGCGTCTAGGCCTACGATATCCATAGTGATATGCCCGTCGGCAGTGATCGCTCTATGCAAATACCGCAAATAGCTTACCACCTAGTTATAGGCGGGGCTCATAACCTATTGCGCAGAGGAATGGGAAGCAATGAAGAGCGAGGCACAAACACTTGCCTTTATTTCAGAAAGGTAGTAGCTTTTGATAAAAACTTGAGGGGCTCGGTTGTTGGTTTAGCAACAGAAGAACGAATGAATTATTCGATGGGGATTGAGGAAGAAATCCCCGAGTTTATATACATGAGTAGGTACGCACGGACCAAGAGCGTAACAGGAAACTACTACTCAGTATAGTAAAGAATAGTGCAGAAGGTCATGGAATATGACGTATAATATGATGTCACTATGACATCATTTGTGGAGCTGATTGCTAAGGAATGTCATGTGACGAACAACGTGTTGATGCACGTGTAAATCTGGAACAATCTAGACGTCGGAACATATAGTTATATTTCCAACACGATGAATGCTCCCTGACTGGCAGAATGCTGCTGCAAACGTTCAGTTCACTTGCGTTCGTGGGAAAGTTTACCGGTGCAGTGGCTGCGATGAACGTTCCCTGACTGGCAGAACACTGCGCCACGCCCCTTTGGCTTTATCCCGTTGGAACTTAAAATCCACTTTGTGAGCATACCCTTATCTTAAACATTCCTCTATTCCATGCGTTTCGGGGATTTCTCTGCACACGTTGTAATAGAAGGGGAGGACGTGAAAGAATACGAAATCACCGTGAACAGCAGTGGAACACAAGCGACATGCTGGATTGTCTCGGAGGTCGGCAAGGTATGTACATGCGCATTCACACAAGCACAAGATTTGTCTAAGAAGTGATTTACGTGGTTTGCACCGGTGCAGATGTTTTCTGTAAAGTGGAGTTGTCATTCCTCGAAGCGTCCGGCCTGCCAAGGGGTTTTAACCGTGGATGGCATAGGATGCGTCAGGACATGCTTGTTACCAATGTACAACAAGGACACCGCATTTTGTTCAGTGATGCATCTCGGCACGAAGGAGAGAGATTTAATGTTCTGTAACCTCCAGCTGAGTGGTACACTCACTTATCCATTCCCAGGATTTCGAGCGTCTAATCAGTGGCTAAGATGACGAGGCCCTGTTGGGAAAGCCTGTTTTGAGTCACCTAGGGAAAATTAAATTGGGCATTTCTCAGGGAACCATTCGTTGGGAACCCAGCAAGGCACCGGAGTCGGGATCACAGTTGACAAGTTACAGGTCCATTTATCATGAGAAGTCCGTAAAAAAGTTGTCGACCCATTGCGTTGGGTAAGACAGGTTATACATGTCTACCTGTATTGCACGTGTCAATGTGATCGCAGGTTTGGGCCAGAAAGGGAACATAGCATCCCGTCTAGGGTTTGGGAGTTTGTGCCTAACCAGGACCCACCCTTCGAATTCATCTTCGAATACAGACCAATTGGTGTGCATTCAGTTATTCCCACTTGACGTTGTGTATTCAGTTTACTTTCAGGGATTCTACAAGCGAATGGCATTGCACCGCGATCAGCTCCCGCCATTCCTACCACCCTTTCTGATAGCTCTTCTGGCATGCAGAAAACCCAAAGCGGGGTATTAGAACGGATAGCACTCCTGGAGGTTGGTGTGGTTTGCCCTTGGAATGAGTGGAAAATGATGATGACCACCTAGAACGAGATGAAACGCCTGCGTGGTCAAGCACACGATGAAACAGAAGACCGGAAGCCCAAACGTATCAAGAAGGAACATACAGAGAAGCGCCCTCTCGTTCATGGGGAAGTCATCGACCTCACCTAACCTGGGCCATAATTAATACCAGCCGAATCAGAATGATACGTATCTTCAAGTGTCACTTTTGTGTACTCAAATTCATATCACTAGATAATTGTATATTAAACGTATATGTGCTCACCCCCTGGTCACATGTTGCTGATGCGAGAGTTTATCTGCGGCATGGGAGCCGAGGTGGAGCTGAAGTTGAGAGGCTGCGCCGCGCTGGTGCAGTGGAGTATGTGGCACATCATCGATGAGCGGTGGGTGCCATTGGACGCGGCGAAGCTACGTTCGTGCATACAGGTACCATCACCATTCATGCACGAGATGTGATGCTCTATAGATACATAGGACATTCTGGGGGTGATTATGAACAGCGATAAGTACGCAACAGCCATCGTACACCTGGATACAGACAGACTCGATACACACCGAGGGAGCTCAGCAGTTGCATCAACACTTGGGGATAGGATTAACTGTCAAGTGGAAATACTTGCATGCAAACAAGAGCCGCGAATCATGATAATGTCCTCGAGGCCGGACCCAGTAATATTATTCGGCAGCTGCACAAATACAGCTCAGGTATAGATAACAGATTGATGGAATGCAATTATCAATGCCATACGGGCGATACGAATCGGTAGTATATGGCTGAGGGTAAGGTCAGGAGTCGCAGTCACCTGGCTATTACAACCGCGATTGTGTACGTACAGTCTGTTACTAATACCAAGATGTCATCCGATGACTGACTCGGTCTTCGGATCGGGTCGACATTATGATGGCACTCCCTGAGTCATTGGTTTTCTTTTCCTCCCTTCTTAACAGCCCCGTTTACTGGATCCTGCTTGGTGGTTGTTAAGAAATGGCTACCAATGAAAATACCCCCCTACTAGAAAACGTGCCAACGAAGGCAAAGACACCTCTGCCCAAAACACAGCTGGGCCTTGTCTTGTTCGTCCTTTTCACTGAGCCCATGTCAGCGCAATTCATTTTCCCATTCATAAATCAGGTGAGTAAAACATGTGTAAGATCACTGTAGAGCATCCTGGGGGCTGATTTGGACGACATAAAACTGGATGGCATCTGTAGCTAATAAGGGAACTAGGTATCACGGGCGGAGACGATCGCAAGATAGGATACTATGCTGGTATCATTGTGAGTAGGCGTCTAGCGACTCTCTTTCTTTTTCGTGGTAGCATTTGACTGCGTTCGGATCTCTGGGGTGCATTTTCATGGGAATACATGCGTTCTATTCTCAAATGGCTTTCGATTAACCTCTCTGCAGGAATCCCTGTTTTTTGTCACCCAAGCACTGACGGTCTTGGGTTGGAGTCGCTTATCTGACTACGTCGGCCGCAAGCCTGTATTACTTGTTGGTCTCATGGGTCTGAGCATATCCAATTTGTGTTTTGGGTTATCTAGAACGTTCTGGGCGCTCGTCGCAAGGTACGAACTCTTGCAGTGCACCCAGCTTCAAGGTCAATCTAGATTTTGGCTATAGTCGATGTATTGCCGGGGCCTTAAACGGTAATATCGGGGTGATGAAAAGTATCATAGGGGAAATAACAGACAACACCAATATGGCCCAGGCGTTTGCACTTATCCCTATTATTTTCTCTGTTGGTGCTTCAATCGCGTACGTAAATTTGTTCCCGTATCCATTGGATGCTGAAAACCAAATCTTGACAGTCCCCTTTTTGGTGGCGGCTTGGCAAAGCCCCATGACTATTGGCCCGAGCTCTTCTCAGGGCCGTTCTGGATGCAATACCCGTACTCCCTTCCTTGTATCGTATCCGCGTCGTTCGCTGGGTTGTCATTCTTCATAACTGCGCTGTTTTTAAGGGAGGTGAGCCAGCGACGCATACCCATGTTGAACAGTTAACCATCTCAGAATGCAGTCACTGCCCTCGAAGCGACATGGGAAAGAACCACAGCCAGAGATTGCTCAGGTGGGCACCCCGGGTGACAAAGAAGCTTCCCCAGTACCGATCCGTACCTTGCTCAAAACTTATTCGGTGATGATACCTATCGCAAATTATAGTATACTGGCGCTCGTCGACATTGGTTTTTTCGCTCTTGTACCCTTGTTTTATGCAACCCCTGTCGAAATTGGGGGATTGGGACTCTCACCATTCGCCATTGGCATGTGCATGACGGCATTTGGTATTGGCAATGGCCTATTTCAAATGCTGATCACGGCTCGGGCAATAGATCGGTTTGGTGAAAGGAGGGTGTTTTGTTCTGCCGTGCTGGTATTTTTCCCTCTCATCGCTATGTTCCCGATTATGAACTGGGTTATCCAAGTTCAAAAGAAAGTTGGTCCAGCCATCTGGGTACTCATCTTTGCTCAGCTGTTCTTGTGGGCAGTGGTTGATATGTCCTTTGGTATGTGCACTCGTTACTTGATATGGTGAGTGAATCCCTCATGCAACTGGTACATCACAGCTGTTATCTTCGTGTTTGTCACGAGGGCTTCACCGAACAAGAACTCGCTCGGTACAATGAATGGTCTCAGCCAAACTACGACATCGATTGCAAGGGCAATGGGGCCAGCAACGTTCACATCACTGTTTGCGTTCTCAAAAGAATACAACTTACTCGGAGGAAATCTGGTATATGTTGTGCTCCTGATCGTTTTATGTTTGTTAGTCTTCTTGTCGAGGCGTCTTCCGGAGTTGGAGAAAGACGAACAGTAAAAAAGGATTTCATGCTCGGAATCGATACTGCGATACTTAACCACAACCATTCCTAGGACGCTTACGACAATTCCTTCTGTGCATGTCAACACATACATATGTAGCTCCAAAACCAAGGCCCTCGGACTAGAGGATGTTGTAGAAGCGATACCAGCGCATATTTACCTTGTCGTAGCTGTCCAACGGTTAACAACATGAATCATTCATAATAGGGCCTCCTGGTTTACAATTGAGAAGCAGTGCCCCCGCAGATTCGACTCTGGGTCATGGTTAAATTTAGTGGATTAGTGGATTGGTGCCTGGTGGCAATGACACACTGTAGTACTCTTCCGTAAGACTGGTGGTCAGACACATAGGCTTCTTCAATGAGTCCCTAGTCCAAAACCATGCCTATATGGGCAACTTCTGTGGTTGGGAGTTAATGTGTGTGTTGTTCCATGACCACAAGATGTTGGAAATATCTATTAGTTCCAACCATCTAGATTGCTCTAGATTTACATGTTTTGATACATGTGTAAACTATAATAACCTATTTGACTTTGCTCAGTCATCCAGCTCCACTATGACATCATTTATGATATCATGTTCCATGACATTCTCTGCTATTCCTTACCTTACATAGTAGTACCTTCCTTATATGCTACTGGTCCATGTGTAGGTCTACATGTATATAAACTCAGGGATTTCTGCTGTACTCTGCATCATTCTACCAACAGAACAATCTACTGTCTATTCAGACATTGAGCCCCCACTCTATTCAAACTATTACTTCAAATCTACCACTTCAACTTATTCAAACAGGCAAGTGTTCTGTCTTTGCTCTTGTCCCTTCCTGTTCCTCTGTGCAGTAGGTTATGAGCCCCACCTTCTAAGTGTTGGTGCTGTTTACTTGATTTGCATAGTGTAATCACTGCTGATGGGCAAATTCCTATGGATTGAGTAGGCCTAGATGTGCTCAGTTGGGCAGTAGCCACTTTTGTTTTGTCGCTTCTCATGGGCTGTTATCAGTCCATTTTACTTGTTTATTATGGAGAGTTTGGTGTAGGTGACCTCAATAGGCTTTTTGTTGCTTTGATGACATTCTGGATGATTTTACTTGGACTCCTGACCTGGTTGCAACTTTACCAGCATTACATTGCCCAGGTTGAAGAGCACAAAATTAATGCTCTTTTGCTGCCATTAGAGAGCACTGCTGTGTTCTTCAACAATGTCATATGCTTCCACCTCCACCACTGTCACACACCAAAGGTGTTTGGTGAGGTGGACATGGATACAGCTGATGAATGGAGATGAAGACCATAGCCCTCATGTGAAGAAGGACAGCCAGAAATGTTGGCAGTCATCCCTCACACAAGAACAAGTCATCAGTGCCAGAGAAAAAGAAAGGGAGCAAGTTAAGTGCTGGCTAAAGTTCTTAAGTGCCCATGTACAGCATTCCAGTTTTTGACATATCTCTGCCATTTCTGCAGATACTGAGACCATTCCCACACTTGCTTGTAGTGCTCAGCCACACAATCTTACCTTCCAAAATTGGAAAGGATTTGCACACTCCACACATTTCTACAGCACTCCCTCCAAAAGACACTCATTTTGCTAAATTCTTCTGATATGGCTGCCTCTATATCAATCATTTTGCTTGTCCCCTTTGCTAGGGACCATGGCTACATATATCTACCAGGAGTTCCTACCAGCTTCTGTCCTGAAGCATCCTGGTACATCCCACCCTCATCTGCACCCTCTCAGCACATCCAGCTTGGACAGCGTGTTCTTTTTGTCAGTATGACCTCTAGGAGGACATTCTTTGGTCGCTTCAGGTCTGTCATTTGCTTGGAAAGGTCTTATGTGGTCGTTTCAGTCTCTCCAGTCCAAGAAGCATATGGATCCTTCCTCCCTGCTCCCTGCAATGTCTTCATACCAGTCTTGTCCATCATTCTTCCAAGATTGTGACAGCTACAGTATAATCTACTGTTCTCCACTCTCCCTGATCGCATCCATGATGAGTATGATGCACATCTTGCCTCCTTGTTGCAAGATACAGCAGAAGACACTCCCCCTTCATCCTCTCTTCCAACAGAGCCTCATTCATGAAGTTTTTATTTGCTTCCCTGAGAGGATGGTTTGGGGGGGAAGGTTGCAATCCCCTATGCTCCTGTCACCCCACAGACCCCCAAAGCTTGACCCCTGTTGACATCTGACTCACCCTGTCCACTTTTGGATGTACTATATTGGCATCAGATCAGTGCTGCCTCTCTGTCATCCCACCTTGGCCTAGAAGTGATCTCTTTGAGATGTGACATGCACAGCCTCCCCCTAATGTGATTCCAGTGCACTTTCCCAGTTCCTGACATCACTTGACTCATACTTTGACATTCTGACTGTCTTTGACTCACCTATTGCCAATACTTACCAATCTTTTGACTTTGCTTACTGATTCTTTGCTTTTTGGCTTGCTAATCCTTACCAATGCTTACCAATGCTTTCCAAGACAATTACCCATCACTTACATTCCTTACTCATCAGTTACCAATCACTTACCAAGTGTTTGCACCTTGTTTTCCAAGGGCAACACCCCTGTACTGTATATAAATCACTGTACTTAGATAGCAAAAAAAAAGAAGACATCAGAGAGCCCCTCTTGCTTGCATTTTATCATCACTCAGTAATTCATTCAGCAGCTTTGATAGTTGAGACTTTATTAAGGGTCTAACTATTGTCTACTTTGCTTATCCTTGTCTATCATCAATATACTTCACTCCAAGCCCTCCCTGAGCTCAGTGCAGCTTAGGACATGGAATTAAGTCATCATCCATCCTTCTGTAGGCTGACAGCAGTCTACCCTATTGCATTCTCTCACATTCCTGCTTCTTCTTCATCAGGAGCACCCCCAACCCTCAGCACTTGTCTTTGAGTGTTGTAGCTCACAAAAACCCTCCCAAAGAACAGGTTCTACCATCTAGGTACTGCATAGGCACACCACCACTTGCTCTTTTTGTCTTTTGTGTTGGTTTTGGTTGGTTTTCACCACTGAACCACACTTTGACTCACACTGCCTCATTGTTTACACTTTTTCCTTCACAATCTTGACCAAGGACCTGATTTAGATCCTGTACCGGCTTGCACTGTCAAGGGCACAATAGATCCCCTGCCTCCTTGACATGCACCAACTCCGGATCACCTGGAGGTTGAAGAAGTGAATGAGGTGCTTGCTGAGGGTTTCCACAGTGGTGGTGGCCTCATCACTGAGTATGCTCTTCTCATGATCAATCCCAATCTCACTGAGTTCAAGCTTCTTTAACCTCATTCATCTCACTCTTTATCAATTATGAGAACTAATCTATTTAATCAAGAATGTCTTTGGTCATTGCAAAATGTTTGGAAACCCAAATTGCCAAACACTGTGATGGAATGTATGAGGGTGCAAAGTGGATGAAATATGTGGTGAAGGAGATTATTGAGTGTGTGGAGGTGTTGTACATTAGAGACTGCATTGTGGAGAGAGGCAGTCCCTTCATCTATAGCTTTCTTCAAAAAGCCTAACCCTGCAACCTATCTGGTTCTGCTTTCTGTCATTGAAACATCCTGGGAGGTCATGCCACACTTTCCTGGCTTTGACTCTCCCTACTTTTGTCCTAATATCCATGTCACTTATCATGGTTACTTTACTGATTTCATTCCCAAGCTAGCCCATTTATCTTCCCCACATGCCATCACCAACTTTAACAGTTGTGACCTACCTAGCATGACATATGAAGATCCTGTGCTTTTCACCATCCCCACTTTTACCATCACATATGACACCTTTGTCTGCATCATGTATAATGCCTGTCCTGACTGCAATGCCAGTGGTTCCTTCTGCAGGCTCATCCCACCTCTTTGGGTTTGGCATGGGTATCTTGGGTGCCCTAACCAAGGAGTTTGGACTGATGGGTCCACCAACATCAGATGTGTACCAAGGTGGTTCCATCAAAGAAAAAGAAGTGGAGACATCTTCAACAAGGAGCTCTATGAGTTCCTGCAGGAGTGTAAATGACAAGCTGATATGGGTAGCTGCATTGGATGTGAGAAATCTCATAGACATCTTGGATGGACTGAACTGGTGGCAGAAGGTTTGCTTACTGGTCCTCTTTGGAGGATATTTTTAGGGACCTTGAACATACCATTCAGACTGGTACTTTTGACTGTTTCACACAACCATGAAGCCACCTCCCACCTTCCACTGCTCTTGCCAGAGCTTGCCAGTCTCACACCACTCATGCACAACTGTCCTCTTCCCAGTATGATGGATGTACTGTACACATCTGGAGGCTGGTACCACAAGGGAATTGAGGAATGTGTCCTGGATGGATCTTATAATATCTTTGAAATCCTTGTAAACTCTAAATGTCCTGGTTTTCATTTGTATGAAAATTTTCCTATTCCTTATAGTTGTGCAAATCCATATCTTGGATTCATTGATGATTGTCCTATGCATGATGTGAAATGGAGCTTCTTTGGGTATCATTATTTTGAACCCTTAGAGTTTGAGCTCCTCAAACACAACAACCCTTGCATCCCTAATCAGAGATTTGCTGAGAGAGGAATCCCTATTATGAAAACCTGGCACAATCCTCATCCACACATTCCCAAACCTCATCATAATCACTGTTCCCAATCTGCTAGAGCATCTGCTTGCAGAGGGAAAAACACCAAAACTCATTTATTAAATCCCCCAAATTCAACTCTACATCCTTCTAAATCATTCTTATATGATCACTTAATCTTGGACATTTATTAGAATTTCTGAAGGCCATGGCAAACAAATCCCAAAACTTAATGGCCTTAACTATGCCTCTTGGTCAGTTCTTATGAAAGCATATTTTCAAACTCTTGGCATTATGGATATTGTTTCCAGTGCAAAACCAAAACCTGCAGACATTGTGCAGCAGGAACCTTGGGTTACCAGCAATTCTTGTGCCCAAGGTATCATAACCTTATATTGTGATCTGATGATTGCTATGTCC